TGACGGCGGCGACGTAGGCGAAGGCGCCGGCGAGGGCGGCGGCGGCAAGTGCGGCGCCGGCTAGGGCGGCGGCGTCGAGGGCGGCGGCGAGGGCTGCGGCGGCGAGGGCGGCGGCGACGAGGGCGGCGGCGGCGCCGTCGGCGGCGGCGAGGGCGGCGGCGTCGAGGGCGCCGGTGAAGGCTGGGGGCGAGGGCGGCGGCGTCGAGGGCGGCGGTGAAGGCGGGGGCGAGGGCGGCGGCGGCGAGGGCGGCGGCGGCGAGGGCGGCGGCGGCGAGGGCGGCGGTGAAGGCGGCGGCGAGGGCGGCGGCGGCGAGGGCGGCGGTGAAGGCGGGGGCGAGGGCGGCGGCGGTGAGGGCGGCGGTGAAGGCGGGGGCGAGGGCGGAGGCGGTGAGGGCGGAGGGGATGGTGGCGGTGACGGTGGCGGCGGGCTCGGCGGTGGGCTCGGCGGCGGTGAAGGCGGCGGAGACGGCGGCGGCGGGCTCGGCGGGGGTGAAGGCGGCGGCGGCGAGGGCGGCGGCGGGCTCGGAGGCGGCGGAGAGGGCGGTGGTGGAGACGGCGGCGGCGAGGGTGGCGGTGGGGCTGGAGGCGGCGGACTTGGGGCTTTGTCGGGCGGGTACGGCGGTGGCGAGGGCGGCGGCGGCGAGGGCGGTGACGAGGGCGGTGGCGAGGGTGGCGGCGGCGACGGCGGTTGCGACGGCGGGGACGGGGGCGACGGCGGAGGCGGCGACGGCGGAGGCGGAGACGGGGGTGGCAAGGGTGGCGGCGACGGAGGCGGCGGCGACGGGGGCGGCGGCGAGGGCGGCGGCGGGCTCGGCGGTGGAGGTGAGGGAGGGGGCGGACTTGGCGGGAGAAGCATGAAGAAAGTAAGACAGCTCCTCAGCTCGATCGTAGGGCACTGCGCCAGGCAGCTGTACTCGAAGAAGATGTCGATGCTGTCGCCCGGCCCTAACTGGATCGGGAAGTCTACCCGGATTATCGCCACTTCAAAACTGGTTTTGGTGACGTTGTACGCGGCGGGGCCGCCAGTGAAAAAATCGACGGCTTTCCCCAAAGCCGGATCCGCAGATGCGGTGGTCTCCTTGGCAGAGAATGTGACGGTGCCGAGAGGCCCACTTGACTCCTGGCGGTAAGACACGCTGAAGTAGAAGGTGTCTGACTCAAAAATCGGAGTGATGGCGTACCTAGAAGACAGAGGGAGGCGCGGAGAGAGGGGTGGGGGAGGGGGAGGGAGCAGCGTGTGTGTGCGTGTTTGGGGGGGGGGGGGGAGTGGGCACCACGGCACGGCGCCGTTGTCCTTGGTGATGTTCTTCACGTCAGGGCACTCTGTTACATTTTGTTTGTGAAGTGGGACACGAGGCGGTGGCGGCGGCGACGGCGGCGGCGGCGGCGCTTTTGGCGGCGGCGGCGACGGCGGCAGCGGCGGCGACATCGGCGGCAGCGGGTGCGACGGCGGCAGCGACGGCGGTGACGACGGCGGTGGTGGCGGCGGCGGTGGCGGCGAGGGCGGCAGCGCGGGCGGTGCGGGTGGTGGCGGTGACGGCGGCGGCGGTGACGGCGGCGACGGCGGCGACGGCGGCGGCGACGGCGGCGGCGGCGACGGCGGCTGCAACGGCGGCGGCGACGGCGGCGACGGCGGCGGCGACGACGGCGGCGGCGACGAGGGTGGTGGCGGTGACGGCGGTGGCGGTGACGGCGGTGACGGCGGCGACGGCGGCGACGGCGGCGGCGACGGCGGCGACGATGGCGGCGGCGGCAAAGGCGGCGGTGACGGAGGCGGCGGCGACGGCGGCATCGAGGGTGGCGGTGAAGGCGGCGAAGGCGGCCGCAACGGCGGCGCGGGTGGTGGGCTTGGAGCGAAACCAGGCGGGTACGGTGGTGGCGACGGCGGCGAAAACGGCGGCGGCGGCGAGGGCGGCGGCGATGGTGGCGGCGGGGACGGAGGAGGCGGGCTTGGAGGCGGCGGGGACGGCGGCGGCGGACTCGGTGGCGGCGGCGAGGGCGGCGGCGGTGAGGGTGGCGGCGGCGAGGGTGGAGGCGGAGAAGGCGGAGGCGGAGAGGGCGGCGGCGAGGGGGGTGGCGGCGAAGGTGGTGGCGGAGAGGGAGGAGGCGGCGGGACAGCGGCGCTAGGGACGATGAGTGCTGCGGAGAGAAGATAGATGCGCACCATTGCCCTTGGTTTCCAATTGGGGAAAAGGGGGTATGGCCTCGGATATATTGCCTGACCAGCCGCCGGAGAGACCAACCCTCCGAGACCTCGCTGCAGACTCCACTGGGGTGCGAGTTAATGCGCGGTTGGGGGGGCCTGAAAAGGGGAGCTCCCTCTCTCCCCACCCCGAGGACCTCTGCCACACAACCAAAAAAGAATAAAGAGGTCAAAAGGAAAAGAGCCACTTCTCGTCGAAGCACGCTCGCCAGAGATCAGATCTATCTCTCACATCATCAGCACTCACTGCACTGAATGCCCTGAATTTTTCTTCTTCTTAGCCAAACGCACCCAATGAACACACCAGTGAGGGAGGGCGAGACGATCGAGGGGTCCCGTACCATGCGGAATCGACCCTATCAAGTGCTCAAGTGCTCAAGACAGAAAGAACACCCCACAGAAAGAAAGAAAGAAAGAATTTACAACGCAAGCCTCTCGCACACGCACGATTCACACGACAGACAAGGCGCAGGCGACGGCTTCCTTAGAACCTCGCGCTTCCTTGGGCCCCCCTAGCAGCAGACCGCACCCCCTCTACTCGGAGCTAGTGGACACGACACCAGCTAGTGATACGAGAATACGCACCGCCCCGACGCAGTACCGTACTACGCGACGATAACACGAGAATACAAGAATACGCAGCTGCGAGACGCCCCAGGCGGCGAGTAGTCGTCGTTGAACCTCCGGCATGTAGTTGCCCGTGGTTAGCGCCCGTCCGCCCTCTGCCGTCCGTCGCTTCGTGTGAATTAGAGCTCTAGCGATGGCCAGCCTTTCTGCCGGCTGAGGGGAGCGCAGTTGTGTGTGTGTGTGTGTCCCTGTCCCTGTCCCTGTTCCTGTCGAAATCGCACACAGGAGACTACTCGAGTGGTCGGTTTTCCTCCTTTTCATGTGCTTATCAGAGTAGCCCGAGGACGGGGGGGGGGGCGGGCCTCGCCCGGGGCTCACCGGCGCCCGGCCGTCCCCGCCCCCTCCCTCACCTGCCCCACCCCGGGGCCTCACTCGCGATGCGCTGTCCCGGGGGGGTGACCCAGCCAGGGCGCAGGGGCACCACGGGCGGGCCACAGCCCACGCGCACGCGGCCCCGTACCTACGCCTACCGGCTACCGCGCGCCCCCGGCCAACCAGCGCCACGCCTAAAAGATTAAGAATTCTACCCCCTGAAAGGCGCGCTCCGCACGAAAGTGAAAGCTGAATGGGCGGGTCGGGTGCCGCCGGGGTGGGGGGGGTGGGGGCACCCGGGGCGCCTCACTCTGAGGAGCTCCGCCCCGCCCCTGCCCCTCACTGCCCCGGGGGTGGGGCCTCACCCGCAGCCGGCGCGTCCCGGGGTGGGGTCTCGGGGTGAGTCCCGGGTGAGGCCCGCCCCCAGACCCGTCCTCGGGCTGTGATAAGCACATATCAAGCGATGGCCAGCCTTTCTGCCGGCTCCTGGTGGTTCAACCATAGCTGCAGCGCCGATGCCGACTGGAGCGAATCGGTGGAGCTCTCGTCGGCGGACACGGGAGTCGTGTACGGTCTCGCGATCGCCTCGGCGTCCGTCTCGCTCTGCGGGTCGCTCTTCGTCCTCTTCACCTTCCACTCCATCTATGGCTGCTGCGGACGGCGGCGGAGTCAAGCTGGCCGGGCGCCGAACGCGACTCTCATACTCTACTGGATGTCGGTCTCCGACGTCGGCCTCGATCTCTTTGTGATTGTCGACTCGGCGGTGATCAACCACTACGACCGCGCGCCGTCTGCGGCGACCGGCGCGTGCGGCGGCCTCTGCGCGTTTCTCGGCGGCGCCAACCAGTTCTTCTCGCTCGCGGTCGTGCTGTGGACGGGCGCCCTCGCGGCCAACATGGTTGTGACGGTTTTGCGGCGGCCAGCGCCTGGCGCGCCGAACGCTGCGGCGGAGAAGCTGGTCCGCTCAAGCCATCTGGTGGCGTGGGGCACGTCCGGTACCACGGTGCTGCTGCTGTGGGCCGCGGGCGGGCTCGGCTCTGCTGGGCTCGCCGGCTGCGCGGCACGGAGAGGCGTGGAGGGCGAGCAGTGTGCTCAGCGCGCCTCGTTGCGGTGTAGGCTCGTCTGCTGGATCTCGGATGCGTGGCTCTTTGCGCGCTTCTTCCTCTTTTACCTTCCGCTGCTGATGGCGCGCGCCCCCTCCGGGGTTCTGTCCCCTCTTTCCCCCGCACCTCCTCGGCCTTGCACCTCCATCGACCCCCTCCCCTCCCCCCCCAGCCCCATCCCCCTCACTCAGTCCCCTCACCCCCGCCCCTCGACCCCCGCCCCTCGACCCCCGGCCCGTCACCCCGACGCAGGTGCTCGGCTTCACCGCTTGGACCTACTCGCGCGTCCGCACAGACCTCAAGCTCCTCCTCGCTTCCGCCCAGCCAGCCGCGGGCGGCGGCGGCGGCGGCGGCGGCGGCAGCAGCAGCAGCAGCGAGGTGCTTCTAGCGCTCAGTGTGCGCTTCGCGCGGTACGTGGCGGTCTTTGCGCTGGTCTGGACCTTCCCCATCTTACTCCGCGCGTGGAGCGCCTTCGCTCGGCCGCCCGCGTGGCTGTCTGCCTGCGCCGCCGTCTTCTCGCCGCTGCAAGGCCTCGGCAACGCGCTGATATACGGCTTCACTCCGAGCGTGCGCGAGCACTACCGGAACGGATGCCTCGGCGGCGCCGCCCGCCGCACCTCCCTCGCACGCCTCGCCTCCTCCACCTCGTCGCGCGCCCGCACGCCGCGCGGGCAGCATGGCGGCGGCGTCTCGATGGCGCCCGCCTTCCGCGCGTCGAGCACCGGCTCGAGCGGGGAGGGCGGAGGGGAGTGCCGTGTCACGCAGGGCGCCTTGTAGCCTGAGCCATGGCGGCGAGCGCCGTGTAGGAGCCCCGTGGGAGAGGCGCTGTCGTGCGGGGCGGCTCGTTCACTGTGGCGGCGGCACGGGCAGCCCCCAGGTGCGCGCTGCCGTCGCCCCCCCGCTCACACTCTCTCTCCCGTGAGAGCCGTGTCTAGGGTGCTTTCGTGTATCGTAAGAGAGTGGGCATGGCCGGGGGCATTTTTCAGAGACAGAGTGGTACATGTACAGTATGGCCGACGCGATCGGCGATTCTCCAGAGGCAGCAGGACGCAGGCGGGGAGATCGGGGAGAGTCAGCGAGCCCACGCGGCGTCGCGCTGTACATGGAGACAGGCGACGGTGCGAGACGCATCGAGAGGCAGGCTCGGCCCATGTCCGAAGCATCCGGCGACGCGACGCGAAGTGGCACGAGGTGTGCGCGCCGCGTCTGTCGCCGCGGCCTCACGCGGCGGCGGTGCGGGCGAGCGCGACGAGGGAGGGGGCGTGATCTCCGTTTGGCGCGTACTCCGCGAGGTAGGCGCAGTCGTGCAGCGAGAGGGCGGCTCCCGGCGCGGCGAGGGAGGCGGAGGCGACGGCGTAGTCGAGGCGGAGGCCGCGGTTGAGCAGCTGGTTGCCGGAGCGGGTCGACCAGTACGAGAAGGCTCCGCTCGCGTCGGGCCACAGCTGGCGGAAGCAGTCGACGAACGGCCCCGAGGCGAGCAGCGCTCCGAAGGCGGCCCGCTCGCGCGGCGTGCAGCCCGCCGACTTTGGGACGTGCTTGGCGGTGACGTTCCAGATGTCGGCGTCGAGGTGCGCGACGTTGAGGTCTCCGAAGAGGACGACCGGCTTGCCGCTCGCCTGCAGCGTCTGCAGGTAGGAGCGCATGGCCGGCTCCCAAGTGTCGATGCGGTAGTCGAGCCGCTTGAGGTCCTGCCCCGCGTTTGGGACGTAGGCCGCCACCGCGTGGCAGTCCGGGAACTCGATCGAGACGGTGCGCCCCTCGTTGATCGACTCGACGGCGTCGAGCGAGACGCTCGAGACCTCGACGCCGCTCCGGACGAGGCACACGACGCCCGAGTAGCCGTTCTTGGCGGTGCAGACCGCCCAGTGCGCCGTGTAGCCCGGCAGCAGCCCGAGCAGCGCCGCCTCGGCCGCGGCGACATTCTTCTGCTGCAGCTTATGCTCGGAGATGGCGAGCACGTCCGGCTTCTCCGCCTCGACGAGCGCGGAGAGCAACGCCTTGCGCTCGTCAGCATTCTTGCCGTTGAGCAGGCCGTTCAGGCCGCCCACGTTCCAGTGCACCAGCACGAGGCCACTCTCCGCGCGCGGCTTGCGCGGTGTCGGGGTGCGCTCGATCATGTCCGCCTTGCCGGCCGCAATCGCCTTGGCAGAGGTCGTAATCTTGGAGGCGTTGGCGGCGATGGCACTCGCCGCCGCAGCCGTTTTTTTGGCCGCGGGGGCTTCCTCTTGCTGGTCAGCCTTCTTCTTCGGAGGCATGGTGGCTACGGCAGGCGGGAGAGTGCAGGAGACAGCTGGGCGGCGCCTGGCGGGAGAGGGGAAAAAGAATACAGGGGTGCAGATTTCTTTTTTGCGGCTGGACTATGCGGGACTGGAGGGGGGGCTGGGCGGGAGTGAGGAAAGCGAGGAAAAGAAATTCACGCAAAAGAAAAGGCGCAGCGGGCGTGGGTGCGGCGCCCTCTTGCCTTGTTGGGTACGCTGTGGCGGCGACGCAAACACAGCGGCTGGTTCGAGATGCGTCTGATGGCCCTGCTGCCGCTCTTCGGCCTCGCCCGCGCCTCGATCGTCGAGGAGGTGGCCAGTAAGCCGGCGGCCGAGCTCCGCAAGCGACTGGCCACTGCTTCGGCAGAGGAGCTGATGGCAAAGAGCAGCTCGGGCCAGACGGTGGCGCACGTGCTGGTTGCCTCGCTCTATTCGGGCAAGGCGGGTGACATCTCCCGCCTTGAGCCGTGGTCCCACCCGGGCACCGAGACGCGCTACCGCCACGCCATCACCAACCGGCTTGCGCAGCCGATGCTGCCGATGCTCGCCGCCGTGCTCAAGACGCAGCCAGCGCTCGCGCGCGCCGCCGACGCGCACGGCGTCACCCCGCTGCACCTGGCCGCGCTGCTCGGCGTGCAGGGCGCCGCTCGGCTGCTGCTCGACGCCGGCGCCTCTCCGCTCGCCGCGACAGACGTGGGCATCAGCGCGCTACGCGAGGCGATGCTGATGGGGCAGGTGGAGATCCTGGCGATGATGATGCGCGCGCTGCCGGAGGAGGAGAGGGAGAGGCGGTCGAGGGAGGCGGCGAGGTACGCCTCGCTCCCCGGCTCGCCCCTTCTCCCCTCCGCCCTCAAGGAGGCTGGACTGCCGTCGCTGCCGCGCGCTCGCCCTCGCGTCGACCCGCCTCCGAGAGGGGCACAGGAAGGCGCGAGCTGCGGGGAGGGGGGAGGGTGGGACGCGCTGCGCTACCTGCCGGAGGATGTCCGCTCTCGCTGCGAGATCGACCAGCGGGACGGCTCGACTTTGTCCGAGGAGGAGTACTTTCGAGAGTACTTTTCGCAGGCGCGGCCGGTGCTGCTGCGCGATGCAATCCCGCTCAAGCAGCGGTGTGGGCTGGCAAAGGGACGGGGGCCGATGAAGGCGGCGGAGACGCGCAAGCGGCGGTGCGGTCGCACCGCGTACCCCTCGCTCACAGGGCAGCAGTTCTGCGGCTCTTTCTCGTACCTCGATCTCAACGACCACCCGGCGTGCAGCGACGAGAGCCGCACGCTGCCTGTCTGCGTCTCAAAGCCAAACAACGCGGGCGGCGAAGGCAAGATCAACGGGTCTTCCTCGGTCTGGTCCAAGCTGCCCGTCAACTTTCGGTATGGCCCGGAGCACGCCCCTCTCGCGCTGCTGCGGCGCAGCTGGGAGGCGGCGGGCTCGCGGCAGCTCTTTGCGGGCGGCAACGGGTCTGGCGCCGCGCTGCACTTTCACAACGCGGCGTACAACGCGCTCTTCTTCGGGGTGAAGCACTGGCTCATCACGCCGCCGCGGTGGGCGGGCATCTCCGGCACCGCCTCGACCTACTGGCGCGACGTGCACGCGCCGAGAGACATGCCCGCCGGCTTGCCCGTGCGCTGCTCGCAGGGCCCAGGCGGCAGAGTGCTCTCGTGCGTGCCGCATTAGCTGTTGATGATTCACAGCCCGTTCTGAATTGTGCAGGCGACATGATGCTGGTGCCGGCGCACTGGGGGCACGCCACCATCAACGAGGCCTTCTCGATCGGAGTGGGTGACCTCTATTGCGACCGGCGGCTGAGCATCTACCTGCAGGACGGCCGGTGCGCGTCGCCGGTCAAGACCCTCAGAGGGATGGCGCCCACGCAGCGGCTGCGCGGCTACTTCGTGATGAGCGGCGGCGCGCCGGCGAGAGGGAAGGGGCGGGGCGACGCGCGCGGCCGAGGGGCGCTGCCCGGCCGAGGAGGTCCCGGGCGCGCGCTTGGTCGAGCGCGCTCAAAGCGACGCCGGAGCTCCTGAAGGCAATGGATGTATTGCCGTGGGGCTCCTGCCCGTGTCCGGGCGTGGAGATGTGAGGGTTGCCCCCCCCCCTGCCCCACCACTTTGTGTGTGGGCGGAGAAATTTGCCTGGAAGCTGGCGCATCCCTTGCGTTGGAGGAAGACCCTAAGCCTTTTAATGAGACGCGGAGGGAACGACTTGCTCCCCTTTTCACCCATCTCCAAGTAGAGGTGTCCGTTTTATTTATTTATTTATTATGCCTTTAAATACCTTAACCACCCTAGTAGTTGGGCTTGGATAGTGTCGCTGTGTGTGGTTTCGTCGAAAGGCGCTGACGGCCCGGCGCGTACCGGATCGCTTCAATGCTGTCTTAAATATAAGGGGTTCGACCTGTGAGCACTGCCTGCGCTCGGCACCGGGCACCGCCTGGTATACAAAATGCGCCTCCCGGCAGACCCTCACAGAGATCACAGATCACAGCTCCCCCCCCGCCGGGGCCCCCCGTCTTCCTCGAACCCCACTCCCCTCCCGGCGGTATACGCTGGTTGCAGCGCTGAGCACTCGCACGGCCTTAGGGGACCCCCCTAGGGTTCTGAGGGCCGGAAATTTTTAAGACCTTTTAAGAAACGAGGAGGTTTGGGGGCTTAACTTGCCATTTAAGAGATTGCAGGCACGGGGGATCCCTCTTTTAAGACCGTTTAAGAAAGTCGGCCTCGCCGGCATGCGTCGCTGGGTTCCGCGCCGTTTTCTCCAATACTGCCGTTATTAGGCACAAACCCGCCTCTGAAGACACATCTGTAAGTCTGGTGCACTAGCAGGAGCCATACTCGCATAGGGGGCGCGTGCTAGCTGACTGTAGCCAGCTTCCCGGCCTCCGGCGTCTACCGGGAGCCTCCCGGACCATCGACCTCGGGAGCTCTCCCGCACCGTTTGAGCGTTTAAGACCGTTTAAGGAATCGGCGGCCCAGGCAGCCTTAAAATGGGCCTAGGCCCGTTTTAAGCCGTTTAAGCCGCAGGCGCCCCAGGGCCCACCCTCTTAAGCCTAGGGGTCCCCTAAGCGCACGGCCTCTCGAGGTCCCTCACTTTGTCAGCGCCGCACACGTGGCGGGGCACAGGTCCCGTATTTCTGGTCATAGTAGTCCATCGTCGCGAACGAACGGCGCGTTGCCAACCTACATTTCTTTCTCCAGTCCTGGAACTATTTTTCTTCGGCGCATCTGTTTTCTTTTCGATTACCAAAATTCTTTTTAGTGGTGTACCTGTGTTAGTGCCAGTGCGCGCCAGTCCCGTGCCCAGTGTTGTGCGAGGGAGTTTTGGAGCACTTTTCTCGTAAAATTCTTTTTCTCGCGATGTCCAAACCGCCGCGCCGCCCGGGGCCGCTCGCGCCGCCATGGCGACTGCCGCCACCGCCGCCCCCTCGCCGGACACGCCGCCGCCCACCCGCCTTCTCGACCTGCCCACGGAGCTCCTCGTGCGCGCCCTCTCTCGCTGCGACCCCGTCGACATCGCTCGCGTCGCGGCCGTCTCGCTGCTCTTTCACGCCTCGCTCGCGGAGGCCATCCGCTTGTGGGCGCAAGAGCGCGGCTTCGAGCTGCCGGCGCAGCCAGAGGATGAGGGCTGCGCCGTGCGGTGGCTGTGCTATTCGGCGCTGCTGTGCGAGGCCAACCCGCCGGCGAGGGCGGTGGCAAGCTCTCAGCACGGCCTCTTCATTGACGGCGAGGGGCGGCTCTCGTCGTGCGGCAATGCGCCGTTCTGGAACCCAGCCGTGCTCGGCCACGGCGCGGGCGTGACGCGGCTCAACACGCCGACCCGCCTCCCGTCAACGCTGGGCGGCGAGCGCGCCGTGAGCGTGTCGGCTGGCGTTGCGCACAGCTTCGCCATCACCACTGACGGCGCTGTCTGGAGCTGGGGCAATGGAGGCTTTGGCAAGCTGGGCCACGGCTCTGAGCTGACCGAGTGGCAGCCTAAGAAGATCGAGGGCTTGGCTGGCCAGCGCGTCGTCGCTATGTCTGCTGGGGCGGAGCATCACAGCCTCGCCCTCACCGCCGGCGGCGCCGTCTGGAGCTGGGGCTTTGGAACCTTTGGCATGCTGGGCCACGGCGACCAGCAGGACCAGTGGCTGCCCAAGGAGGTGGAGGCATTTGCTGGCCAGCGCGTCGTCACCGTGTCGGCTGGAGAGCAGCACAGCCTCGCAATCACCGCCAATGGCGCCGTCTGGAGCTGGGGCGATGGAGGCCAAGGCCGGTTGGGCCACGGCGACGAGCAGCGCCAGCTGCTGCCCAAGAAGGTCGAGGCCTTTGCTGGCCAGCGCGTCGTCGCTGTGTCGGCTGGAGAACACAGCCTCGCCATCACCCCCGACGGTGCCGTCTGGAGCTGGGGAGGTGGAGCAGGTGGCAAGTTGGGCCACGGCGACCTGCAGAACCAGCTGCTGCCGAAGAAGATCGAGGCCTTGGCTGGCCAGCGCGTCCTCGCTGTATCGGCTGGATACTTCCACAGCCTCGCCCTCACCGCCGACGGAGCCGTCTGGAGCTGGGGCGGTGGAGCCTTTGGCATGCTGGGCCACGGCGACGATCAGCACCAGCTGCTGCCCAAGAAGGTCGAGGCGCTGGCGGGGCGGCGTGTCGTCGCTGTGTCGACTGGAGTCAACCATAGCATCGCCACCACCGCTGACGACTCCGTCTTCACCTGGGGTAGGGGCGAGACTGGCTGCCTAGGCCACGGAGAGGACCTGTCGAACCAGCTGCTACCCAAGAAGATCGAGCTGTGGGCGCCGGGGCAGTGAGGTATCGGGGGCTCTGTACGCCGACCGGGCTTTATCGGCTCATCTGCCCTAGAGGAGCTTGTTGAAGCCAGCACGCGTGGTTGAAGGCGAGGTGTGTGAGCATGCGTCGGCAGAGCGCTACAGACTGAGGCAGCGAGTGAGTCCTGAGTGCTGCGTCGCGGGCGGAATGCTCCATCGCGCAGACCGCAGAGTGTCCAGTGCAGCATCGGCGAGTACGTCAGTAAGCGGTAGTAGTTTACCTGTCTCCTCCCTCATACCTCCCACACGGCAACATGGTCCACCCTCTACCCATGCCCATACTGCGAAATCGAGTCCATACACACACACAACTGCGCACGTTGAGCCCGGCGCTGGGCTCCCACGCGTGAAGCATGCAGGGGAAGCGTGTCGATCGAAGTCAAGAGCGACACGTAGCAACGCCTGCTCGTCGTGATCGCCGGCTGCTCTCTCCTAGCTCCGCGGCGCGGCTCGCCCGCGCCGCAACGCCTGCACACGAGGCGGCAGGGCGGGGCGGGGTGAGGTGCTCAGATGTGTGTTCCCTAAGGGGTGGTCCGGAGGGCGATCAGCTCGCAGAGCACAGCCGCCTCAGATATTCTCAAACTGTTGGGGTGTGATCCTCACGGCGGGTCAGAAAGAGCGCGGAGTGGTCCTCATAGGCTGTCGGCGGGAGGGGCTGCTGCAGGTGGGGAGTGGTGCTCGGCCATTGGGCGGGCAGACAGAAGGCCAGGGCAGCACTGGCAACTGCAACGCGCCTCATGTCGGAGAGCGACCGTGCCTCGTTCGCCGCTTATGAGGTAGAGTTTGTTGTAGAGATTACGTGATCGCTCTCTACGACCACGCTTGCGTGGATACGTGGCTGGCAGGCTGACTCGTGTGCGGGGTAACCCGCGCACGGTGAAGCTTCACGGGTTCGAGTCGCCAAACATTAACCCCTAAACGGCTACCGAAACGGGGTGCCCGGAAGGGCGATATCACGGCGGCCTAACCTGTGCCTCCGTGTGCTCGCCACATACCCCCTGCTGCCCGAGGGTCGTGTTAGCACTTTATTGGGTACATACAGAGGCGGTGGGAAGCCACCACGTTCCCTTCAAAATTTCCGCCACAGAGCTCCGGAGCGCGCTCTGCACGAGGGGGCGCGGTTTCGTCTTTCGATCCCAGAGACAGTCGTCGCACGTCGGCGCCCCAGTGAGGTCCGCCGTCATAGCTGTAGCACGCTACTAGACACACTGCCTCCAAGTTGAGCGGTGGAAAATTGTGACCACCCCGAAGCCACGCACCGAAGCGCCGGCGTCCCCCTCTGGCAATCTGCCACCGACAGCAACACGCCTTTGATCACCGGCTGCTTGCGCTCCGCATACTCTCAAGAAGCTGTTGGTTGTGTGGCTGTGCTACTTCTATCAGCCTTTCCTCATGCACAATGTTGCCGTTGAGCTACGAGGCTGCAACCCGTCGTCATTTGAGTTTGCTGCTGCCAGCCACACACAGCGCGTCCCTGCTGCACGAATGGTTGGACAGGTGTGAAAACAACACCTCGTGGGGGCGGCACCGCAGGCGTCCATTGAGGGGTCCAGGTGATAGCCCTGGGCGGACAATCCATACGCCTAGTTGGACTTCAGATCGCCCGATCGCGTCCCGGTGAACTGATGTCGGATTTGTGACGCCGCTGCACCGCGCCGCGGCCAGGGGGCCTCCGGAGGCTGAGGATGGCCGTGGCGGACCTAGACGAGCTCTGGGAGGTAAAGTGTCAGTGTATATATTGTAGAGGCTGACCATGTGCACAAATATCTCTCACTCTAGCTAAGCCAGGGGAGGCTGTTCTGGGCGTCCACACGGCTTGCACCGGTGACCCTCGCGACAAAGCGAGCGCGTCCGGCAGAGCGACTGAAGAATCGAGGACAGAGTCAAAAATCCCGGTTGTTTTGTGCATGTTTTGAGATCGCGACCGAGCTCCGGCTCGCCACGCCCACGGCGTCGGAGGACGCCACCGTCGCCTACACTCCTCTGCGTCCCTACGTGCCTGTCTTTTTACCGGACCTTCTTTTTCTTTATTGGGACGGCCTGCAAATATTGAAATAAGCGTGGGTTGCTGAATGAATAAAAACAGCCCTCCGCACTCGTCAGCAGGACGGACGACCCCGGCTAGTCGCCGACCACACCCACAAAGAACCCTGCACAAAGATCGCAAGGGCGGGGACCTGTTCCTTTTTACCCACCTCACAGTAGAGAGCTGTGAGTTTATTTATTTATTTAGCAGGCCGGAAGTCTGCGAGGCTGCAACCACGGCGATTCCGATGAAGCGAACGTCGCGCCTGCTCGTCGCAGCCGTGGCCGTGCTGGGCGTGCTGCTCGCCACCGCCGGCTTCACGTCCGAGCCTGGGGCCGAGGCTGCGACCGCCGCTTTTATCCTCGACATTCTGCCACAGCTCATGGGCGGGCCGCCGAAAAACTCGTTCCCACGGCTGAGTCGATGTCCGCATTGCATGCGAGCGGAGGCCAGCGTCGGTTCGTCGGCGCAGCTCCGCCCCCTGCCCGCGGACATTGACGCGCATGATCCGGACTGGCAGCAGCGGCTGCAGGCCGTGATGCACTCGGAGCCGGCGGTCGTTCGCGGTCTCCAGTATGTCGAGTCCCGGCGCTTCGGCAACATGAGCGGGCTCAACGTGCCGCGACTGCGGGAGCTGTACCGCGGCCGGTCGGTCACAACCTTCACGCACATGACCCACGACACCTCCGCCGTCGACATGTCGTTCGACGACTTTGCCGACCGGATGAAGGATGAGGAGGAGATGCTCTATGCGCGGGCGATGCCAGACGTCACCGGAGCCTTCAACAACTTTGACCTAGACTGGGTAGCTGGCACGCTATGGGGCCGGCTCTGGTCGTGGAGGTTCACCCAGTTCACTGGCGGCAAGCCCCTCCAAGGCAGGATCGGGCTCGGCTTTGTCGGCAGCAAGCACGTGTGGACGCAGGCTCACTGCGATGTTGGCTCGAGCTCCTTCCTGATGCTGCACGGGCGGAAGCGGTGGGTCTTCTTCAGCCCGACGCAGACCCGATGGATGTACCCCTACGGCCAGTACCGCAACGTCGCGTACAATGCCGGCCTCGACGTGTTCGCTCCCAACCTTACCGAGGTGCCGCTCTTTGCGAACGTGCGTGGCTACGAGGTGGTGCTGCAGCCAGGTGTGCGGCGCCTCCACCCGCCAGCGGCCAGCGCCTCCCCCCGCCAGTGGCCAGCGCCTCCACTGCCAGCGGCCAGTGCGGCCACAGCGCACAACGTGCGCGGCGCGCGTCGTGTGCGCCGTAGACACCTGCTGCCCGGCCCCTGCCGCGGCTGCCGCGCTGCTCACTAGCGGGCCATGTGTCGCAGGCGACGTGCTCTTCTTCCCCTCCTTTTGGTGGCACGGCGTGCAGAACCTCGACGACGAGACGGTCGCCGTCGACCTCCCCTTAATCGACATTCTCGGCAGCTGGCGGCGCAACGCAATCTTCACTCTGACATCGCTCCTCAATCCGAATGTTATCGGGGACTCGATTGGCGCCCTATTGACAGGCGGCAGCCTGCGCGGCGTCTTCTTTGCAGGCTATCGCAAGGAGGGCCTGAAGGAGGGCGAGTGAGGTACCTGGGCGACGCGGTGGGAAAGGCAGGCTTCCCAGCGCCTCACCCGCATCATGCGCTCGGAACCACTGAGCACTTGTGCTCCTCTCTTGTTGTGCGTCTTGCGAAACACTGACTTGAGTCACAGAGCGGTGCGACAACTACATACTCTCTCGCCCTGCGTGTGACTAGCCGGTGTGTGTGAACTGTGTGTGAGTGTTGTCTGTGTGTTCACACTTTGTGTGTTGACTTCATCTTCCACAACTGTCTCACAAGCCGAAAAAAATCTCCCGCATGTCGTCCCCACAGAATCCTACACATCTCGCCGCGACAGACGCCGCCGACCCCCACAGTACCGACAGACGCTCCCCCACACAAGTCCTAGCGAGAGTGGGGCGATGCCGAGTACGCCGCATGACCCAGCCACAGAGTCTCGCCTCGCGGGCGGGCGGCCGCGTCAGCCGAGCCAGAAGCCGGTGGTGCCGGCGCCGCGAGCCTTGAGCGCCTGCCAGCTCTCGTGGCACTCCTTGACCACCTCAGCCGCGCGCGCGGCCGAGGTGGGCGTGTCGGAGGCGAGCTTGTTCTCGGGCTTGCCGTCGGTCGTCTTGTACCTCTTGAGCCACTCGACGAGCTTCGGCACGACGCCGGCGGGCAGGTCGGCGGCGGAGGAGGCGGAAGCGGCGAGCGGATCTTCGGCGTCGACGACGATGATCTTGTGGTCGAGCTCACCTATTCACAGCTCCGTGACGACTCCGGATCAGAGGGGCGGCGGCGGCGAGGGCGTCGAGGGGGGGCTGACCCTGGTCGATGAGCTCGAGGTCGCCCAGGATCTTGACCTTTCGCATCTCGCCAACCTTGCAGGTGCGCGAGGAGAGGTCCATCACGTCGAGCGGGTCGTTGTCGCCGACCGTGCCTATGCGCACGCTCCGAGGCGGCTGAAGGAGGCCGCCCCCACGGCGCAGCGGAGCCGTGGCCGCCGAGTTGTGCTGTGCCGTTGAAGCCCTTCTTGGCGGGGTCCTCCCATGTCTGGGGCAGCATGCCGTAGTTGAAGAAGGAGGCGCCGTACGTGTAGTAGCGCAGCGCGCCCTTCTTGGTGTCCTGCATGATCGGGTTGAAGGGCTTCTCTTTTTGCACCTGCACGGACAGACGCGCGTCAAGGAAGAAGGAGGGGCGTGGACGCGGGGCTGCTCCTCGGGCACCTCGAGCTTTGCTGTGGCGCCGCGCGGGATCTCGCACACAAAGTTGACGAAAGACGGGTCGCTCGCTGTCGGGTAGAGGGCGAGGTTGTGCCACGGCGAGATCTGCGCCCCGTCGGCGCCGACGAAATGGGCGGTGAAGGCAACCTTGCCGAAGGGCTGCTCGGCCGAGCTGCGCATGTTTGGCGCGAGCGGCAGCCCTCCGAGCTGCTTCGAGTACGGCACCCAGTCGCCCGTCTTTTGGCGGATGTAGTAGTCCGAGACGATCTCCCACCCCTTTTGCACCATGAAGCCGGGCGGGATGCACTTGGAGGCGATCAGGTCGGAAGGGATGGTCGGCGGGCACGGCTTGGCGGCGAGGGCGGCGAGCTTGCGCATCTTGGAGCCCGAGATGGAGATGAAGTCGTCGGGGCGCGACTCGTCCTTGCCGCGCATCGTGTGGTCCTTCTTGTCGTAGTACACCTTGCTGAAGCCGAGGAACTGCATGCCACCCACGCCAGGCGACGACATGAGCGCGTACCGGCCGTGGTCCGGGTGGTAGATGTCGTCTCCCTCCTCGTGGCCAGGCCCGTCCGACGAGTAGGGCATGCCCGCCGGGTCGCGGCCGACGGTGAAGTAAGAGGCGCCGCCCGCGCGGCGCGACTTAGCGTGGAACTGAACCTCCGTCGGGCCCGCGTAGATCATCGGCGAGGGCCAGATGGCCATCACGGTCCAGTCGGGGTGCAGCTCGCCCGCCGCCATCACCTCCTGGTGCTGCTTGACGCGCACGTCCAGCGGCACGTCGGACGCCTTGGTCCACCCACCGAGCGGTGAGAGCCACAGCACGGGCTTCTTGTACCCGCGCGCCATCAGCTTCTGCCGCGAGTCCTTCATCAGGAAGGCGTGGCCCGCGTGCGTCGGGTTGCGCGTCTGGAAGGCGTACACCACGTCGGCGCCCTTCGCCTTGAAGGCGGCCCGCAGCTCCTCCGCGGTCAGGCGGTACGCGTCCAGCCCGTCGTTGTACGTGATCTTGCCGAGCAGCTCGACCTCGCCGCCGACCGCGTAGTCCTTGCCCGGCTTGAGCAGCTCCTTGACGTACGGGTGCTCGTCGTCCGTCATGCCGAAGGTGCGGTGAATCAGCTCTCGCACGCGAAGCTCGTACACCTCGGGGCTGCGCAGGATAGCGAGAGCGACGCCCGCTGCGTTGGTGAGCGCGACCGCACCCGCGCCCGCGATCTGGCGGCGCGTGAAGTCGGTGACGGGCAACACGATCGGCACGGGCGAGGAGACGCGCTCGCGCGGGAAGGAGGACTGCATCCAGTCGGTGGTCGCCGAGTTGTAGTCGCCCGTCACGTTGTTCGGGTCGTGCAGCACCGAGTTGAAGTGCAGCGTCTGCACGAGCGTGCCCTCGCGCATGAAGCCGCGCAGAGGCGCCGCCCAGCCCTCGCCGACCACCTGGAGCCAGTTGACGTCGATGTCCGTCAGCGGCACCTTTGGCAGCGTCTCCGCCTCCTTGCGCCGCGCGAGCAGCGCCTCGGGCGCGGTGGTGATGCGGTTGATGTGCACCCCACCGTCCGGAGGCGTGAGGCCGTCCGGCATGGCGTGGCCGCTCAGCGCGCCGGCTGCGGTGAGGGCCATCACGAGCTGGTCGACACACTGCTCGACAGGCAGCTCCGAGTTCTTGAGCGTCAGCTCGGCATGCAGCGGCGCCTGTGCGGCAGTGATGGAAGACTGGCTGACCTACCATCCCTGGAGAGAGTGTGTGGTTTGTCGTGTCCCTCCACAGCCGACCCGTGTGCAGCTGGGAGAGGTGCAGGCAGAGGCGTCGACCTGTGTGGTGTCACCGGGCCCCGTGCGACCAGGTGCGACCAGGATGCACCGCCGGTCGCGAGCCGGCGGGCGAGGCTGCCGTGGGGTGGAGCGGAAGAGAGGGGGGAGGGGGAGAGGGGAGTGGTGGTGTCAGCGACGGCGGTGTGCGGCGGTGTGTGCCGCGGCGCCTCGTACGGCGCGTCGACGCCGGTGAAGCCCTTGATGAGCCCCTTGGCGACCTTCTTGTACAGGCCCTTCGGGTCGCGCGCTTGGACGACCGAGAGGGGCACGTCCATGAAGACCTCCATGAAGGGGATGCCCTATTCATCAACCGGACGCGGGTCATTACTTGCTCCGTCCTCCATGAAGGGGATGCCGTCGCAGCTCTCTCCTCGCAGCGAGGGGCCGACAGGCGGTGAGAGCTTGGGAGGTGAGAACTTGGGCGGTGGCCACGGCACGGGGCACGGGGCGGCCGGTGAGGCGTCGGTGGCAGCAGAGGCGGCAGGAGGGCGGCTGGGAGAGGATGGGCGAGGCTCTAGGTGCCTTCTTGTGTGGCGGAAAGGTCTAGCGAGTGCGGGTCGAGCGCGCGGGTGCGGCGGCGGTGCGGCGGTGTGTGGACGCTTCTCGGAAGCGGCGCCTGCTTCTCGTGCAGTGCGCGCGCGGCGTCGCGATCTTTGCGGTAGGGCGAGATGAGGGTGACCATGGTGATGACACCCGCCTCGGAGAAGAGGGCGGCCACGTGCGACGCGCGCCGGACGGACCTACGGGACATGTCCAGGAAGTGTCGTGGAAGTGGCGGGCCGGTGTCGGGCCGCTTGAGAGGCGGGCGGACTCGGCGCGGTCGTCGGGCGAGAAGCCGAGGTCCTTAGTGAGGCCGGTGCGCAGGTTGTCGCCGTCGATCCGGAAGACGTTCTTACCCAGCTTGTAGAGGAGACGGCGCTCGAGCGCCTGCAGAGGAGAGAGCTCCGAGAAGGGTCGGGGAAGGGTCGGGGAAGGGTTGGGCCGAGCTTGCAGAGGAGTCGGCGCTGCGCCTCGGCGATGGTGGTCTTGCCCGAGCCGGACAGGCCCGTCATCCAGAGCGTGATTCCCTTCTGGCCGATCACGCGCGAGCGGTTGAGGGCGTCGGCGCGGCACACCTGTGCACGCAGCCGCGGGGGAGAAGAGGAGGGTGGGTGGGAGAGGGAGGGCGGGAGGGAGGGTGGGGGAGGGAGGGCGGGTGAGAGGGGGAGAGGAGGCGGGCGGGAGAGGCGGCGGGCGAGGCGGGGGCGCGTGCTGGGGCGGGGCAGAGCAGTGCGTCTGCGGCGAGCGCCTGGCCCGGCTTGCACTCTGCGATGTTGACCATGTCCCTGGCGAGCATCTTGGTGCGATGCCTCGCGACCACCTCGGCGTCGTCCGGCTGCGACGCCGCGGGCGCGGCCGCGATCGACGGGCACTCCGGGATCTTTGGACAAGACAGCTCGCACGCAGGGCACGGCTTGTGCTGGCACTCGGGGCAGGCGGGGCAGGCGGGACACTTGCTGACGGCGATTTGCGCGGCTCGGCTTGCGACGTCGGCCACGTTGACTGGAGGCGAGGCCTTCTCGCACGGCGCGCAGGCCTTGCAGGGCAGCAGCCGCGGGTAGGCGATCATGCAAACGACGACGCCCGCGGCAAAGGAGAGGAACATCGAGAACCGCCACCGCTGCAGCGTCTTCTGGCGGTAGCGATAGCTGCCCGGGAGGTCCTCGGCGTCCACAGGAGAGTAGTGGTGGCTCGACATATTGCGGGCGGGCACCAGTCCCAGTCCCGCAACCACAGGCCACACACAGCGCCTTAGCACGAGTTCTACGCGGCGTGCAAGTTCCGTGGGAAAAAAATGGAACACCCAAGTGCTCCAAGTGCTCCATCCTAGTGTTGCGCAGCTATGAACAGGAGCGAGTCCGCGCTGCGCTAGGCTCAGACGGCGAGTTCGCGCTGCGCTAGGCTCAGACGGCGAGTTCGCGCTGCGCTAGGCTCCGAGTTCGCGCTGCGGGCTACGGAAGACTACACGAGCTCGAGCCTTAGCAACGAGTTCTACGCGGCGTGCAAGTTCTTAGTAAAAATAAAGCACGCGTTTGCTGCTCCCGCTAGAGCTGGGAGGGTGCGGAACGATGGACCCGGCAACCAACCTGGCCAGGGACATAGCGGTGAACACTCTGGCGGGACTACAACACCCGGCTGCAGCGGTGAGGAGGGCGTACACCATCCGGATGGAGGAGGCCACGCGTGAACAACCGATGGGGGGGGATGACTCGGCGACGCGGGGGGAGGATACGGTGCGAGGCCTCGCTAACGTGCAGCTCCACCGGGGACGTCAGGACCCTCCCCCTGTGTGCGAGTGCCTGGAGAACTCGTGCGGGAGGAGAGGGCGAAGTGCGCCCCCCTCTCTCACAACGGGCGACAGAGATCCTGGAAGTGGCGCCGCCGCCCGGCCCCCCTGCCCTCCGGATTGTCTTGAGCGAACACAGGCCAAAGGGTGGGAGACAGGTGGTGGTGAGTGTGGGGAGGGGTACCAAGTGGAGTGACGCTGGCATACGTTTTTGCAAGAAGGGATGAGTGGGGGAGCGCCCGCCCGCACCCCCTGCCAGCAAACACGAAAACGTCGGCCTTCTCAATGCATGGGCGTGCCATCACTGCGGACCGATTTGGAGCCTAACACCTCTCGCGCGCAAGGCGCGTTGCAGAGGATCCGCCTAACCCGCTCGTCCCGCTCCGCCGCTCCGCCCGATTCGCCCGCCCCGCCTCGCCTCCCCGCCCCGCTGCCCGCGCCGTCGCCCGCCCTCCGCCCGTCCGCCCGCCCACCTGCCCGCCTGGAGCAGTGGCAGTGGAAGATGTTGAACAGCACGGCGATCGTGCGCAAGATCGTGAACGACGTCCTCGTCCGGGGCTACGCAGTCAAGCTTGCGAGGGACCGGTGGGCCAGCTACCAGGAGGCCGTTGTGGGGAAGTTCGCAGCGAGCGTGACAGAGCTGCAGAAGGTACCGCTGCGCGTCCTTGTGGTTACATATGTGGATAACTTCGAGCGTTGCGTGAACAGTTGGGCCGATAATGTCCAGAAGCTGAGGGCGGACCCAGCGGGCGATCACTTCGACTTTGCCTTCTTCCACTTCGACTCCAACAACAGCCTGTATCAGAGGCAAGATTGGTACACCCACCCATCTGTTAAAATCAGGCATGTGGGCATTGGTTGCCCTAGCATGTTCTGGTTCATGCTGAACTTCTCCTTCGTCAAGACGTACGACTACGTCTGGATGAGCGACGGGGACATGCACCTGGGCTTCTTCTCTTGGAGCGTCTACCGGGTCGCCTTGGTGAAGCTCAGGCCTCTGGTCTCGCAGCCTGCGATTCTGCCCGCCTTCGCGGGCGGCTTATCCACGGGGGTGCCCATACTTCGCATGACGGGAGTCCGCATGAGGCAGAGGCCCTCCTGGCGAGGGAGGTAATCCGCAGCGAGGTGATGATGCCAATGCTCTCGGTGCGCGTCTGGAAGGCATTGCACCAGAGGCTCGCAGGAAACGACCAGCACAACATGTGGTTCACCGACGCTTTCTGGGACTTCGTCGCATTCGCAGGCAAGGGGAGCTGCAAAACGACCGGGCCCTTGCTCGTGGAAGCGTCGCCAGCCCGGCATCTGAACTGGCAGTCGCTCAAGTCCGCCACTGGAAACTCCACGAAGTGCACTTCGTCCAGAAACGGCGGGCGCGCCTTCGCCCAGAACGACCGCCCCTTGGGGACCAAGGAGTTGACGCTTGCGGGGGAGGGCTCGCAGGGCTACTGCGACAAGGCGAACAAGAGTCTGCCCAGGCTCGCGAGGCGGAAAATGGGACAGTGCGGTTTAATCCGTGGCCCGTGGCGGGAGTGGAGGGTGTAGGCTGTCGGAGCAATGAGTGCCGGTGGACCTCCCTCCCCCCTCTGATTGACTATCCGTTGGAATCGTCGGCAGCGTGTATGGATAGCGGGGCCGTTGGAGTGTTGCGGCCATCTTCGGGGCCGATAGCCATGCCGGCGCGGATGGACAGGTTCGACTGACCAACATACCAACACACCAACACACCAACACACCAACGCCCAGTGCATGAATTTGGGCCGGCCAGAGTTGCACTTCCGAAGGCCCATGCTGCGAGAACACGCCCGGCACGTCGACTGTGACCTGCCAGAGCAGGGGCCATGTGTACCACGAACCCCGCCTTCAGGAGCTGTACAGTGAAGGTCAGAGAGGCTCGATCCCGGAGCCACCTCGTTGTGTTGAAATCGGAGTCAAGTTCCAATGAGGCGCCATGTGTACCACGAACACCACAATGAAGAGGAACACCGTGTGCATGCGACCCGTCTACAGAAGCAGAGGGGCACTACGGCAGGTATGCAGCTATCTTGCCCCCAACAAGAAGCACTGTCCTCGGTGCACAACCAAGGAGTCGGGATCCAACTAGGCAATGTGGTTGTCCTGGCTGATGAGCCGCCAGCGAATTATGTGGGACAGCCCCAATGTTGCGGGGCCACAAGCCACCGACCGGACCTGCGCCCCTTGGTCTTCTTCGGCGAGCGGACCTGCGTCGGGTGCGGGCGTCGGGTGCGGGCTATGGACTATGGTGCAGTCTAGCGCAGCGCCCCCTCGGCGGCTGGGATATCCCTCCCTCCCTTGGGCTGACCGTTTTCTTTCTTTGCTCTATGACCGTGTGGGGGGAGGGGGTGTTGGTGCGGGGCGCGTGGCGTGTGCGGCGCGTGTTACACTGACCGTGTGTTTAGTCACTCTAGATAGATATGACATCTTCACGCAGTGACCGACACGTGCGCGGGCGCATCGGCCATCGCTGCCGAGGCTCTGCGTAGACGCCGTTTATGCATTGTGCTCTCCACGAATGCCCAACTAAACTATCCGTGTTGAGTGTCCACACTCTTTTGTCCGGCAGGACGCGGGTGATGCAGGTGATGCCGAGGGCGGCTGCGCGGCGAGCCATTCGTCGAGCCTCGCGCGGACCTGCCGCATGGAGGGCCTCTCCTCCTCGTCCGGCTTCGTGCAGCGGCTCACCAGCTCGGAGAGGGCAGCCGGCCAGTGCGGCGAGAGGGCGGGCGTGGCGAACCTGGCGAAGAAGCAGTCTGCGCCCGTCCACGCAAAGGGCGCCTCGGCAAGGTAGCTCCAGAGCTGCGCCAAGGGCGGGAGCGGCTGCGCCGCCTTGAGCGCGCGGTAGAGCAGCACCCCGAAGGCGTACGTGTCGACGCCCGCCCCGAACGGACGGCAGTGGAACACCTGCGGCGAGGTTGTAGAGAGAGACGGAGGCGAGAATCGGAGCCCGGGGTTGCGAGCCCGAGATTGAGAGACCGCGTGGAGAACACCTCTGGCGACATGTACTCGTAGACGCCCACGCGCTGCTCCGCCTGGAAAGTGGTGCGCACCGCTGCGGCCGCGCCTCCGCCCTCTCCTGCATGCTCTCCGCCTTCGGCCCCGAGGCCCTCGAGGCGGACCGAGAGGCCGAAGTCGACAAGCCTAGGTGTAGAAAGAGGCATACGCGGGTGTGTGAACAACAAACAAGAGCAGGGAGAGAAGAGAGGGCGGGGTTCGAGAGACGAGGTACGCGCCTTGCGCGCGGCTGGCGCGGCTGGCCCGGCTGCTCCTCGCGGACGACGATGTTTGTCTCCTTGATGTCTCGGTGCACGAGCCCTCTTGCATGAAGCGCCTCCACCTGGCGGCGGTCGGTGAGGGTTACTCTGTACTGAGCGGAGAAGGGAAGGCGGCGAGGGCGGTGAGTCGGGCGGTGGTTTTGAGCAGAAGGGTGTGAGGCGCCTCGGCCGCCACGTCGCGCAGCAGGCTGGCCACGGTGCGGAGGGGGGGCGAGGCGCGGAGGAGGCGCAGCATGTGCTGCCCCTCGATGAGGCCTAATCTCGAACGATCTCGGGGGTGATCTCGGACAATCTCGCGCAGCAGCGTGCCGCCGCGACGAAAGGAGGGCCCATCACGACGAAGCCTCGCAGGCCGCCCGCCTCGGCGGCGAAGCCGTGCGCGCGGTAGAGCGGTTCGAGTGGTGGTCCGACGATGGAGCCGCCGCTGCCCCTGATGATGCTGCCGCTGCCACTGCCGGTGATGGAGTAGCTGGTGGCGCCCTTGCCAGAGATGGCGAGCAGCGCCGTGACCTCGAGCCGGAAGCACTCCGCGTCCATCGGCGAAATCTCGGGTGCTCTCGGGCAGTCTGCGCGTCCGTCGGCCCGGAGCGGCTGATCGCCGGGAGCGGCGAGGGTCGAGGCGAGGGCGACGGGCCGCCGGGTGAGCTTGAGGGCGAGCACCTGCGGCGCAGGCGGTAAGTCATGCGGGGGCGCGGAGACGGTCAACCTGTGCTGGTCTCATGTCATGTGCGCTTTGGGCGGCCTATCTTCTGCTCTCACACCTCCCCGGAGTCACGCCTCCTTACGCGCCAGACAATAGCAAACTGGCCGAGCCCGAGGGGGCGGAGGAGCTCGTAGTCGTCGATCCGGGAGGCGCGCTCGGGCGAAGCCAGTTCCGCCATGCTCAGCGGCGGCAGCATGCAGTCTCCTGCCGCGCGCGCGGCTGGCGCAAGCGCGCTCGGGGGCAGATACCGCACGGCTTGCGCGGCGGCGTCGCGCTCGGCCTCACGCCTGCTCGCGCCCCACCCGTCGCTCCATCTCTCGAGCAGCTCTGCTAGGGCCGCGTCCGTTGGGCTGGCCCCGTGCAGCAGCCGCCGCTCGTTCGGCGCCCGCCCGACGCCCGTCCTCACGGCATTGGCAAACATCTTGCCGTCGTGCACCGACCACTGTTGCCCCCTCGCTCCCAACCCATTCACCTCGACGGCCTCCCAGGAAGAGCGGTCCGAAGCGGCGGCCGTTGGGTCGTTGCCCGGTGCCCACGCCCAGTCCTGCGCACGCTTCCGCCAGTCCTTCTTGCCGCTGCCCGGATGTGGCCTGGCCCGCGCTCGCCGCTGCTCGGCGATATGTTGAGCGAAGGCGTTTCCGTCGTGCACCGTCCAGTCTCGCTCCATGCGCATGAAGGCAGGCGAGCAATCAACGTCAATCAGGGAACGGCGCAATGGCGGTGGCGCACGAGCAACCTGGCAGCTCGCGGCGTTCGCCGAGAGCCGCGGCACCACGGCCGACGCCTACCGCGAGCGCTTCGCCCCTAGGCCCAGAAGATGCCTCCGAGCTCGGCGGCGGAGCTGCGGAGAGGAGGCCACTTGCGTGACTGGATTACGGTTTTCTTTTTCGTCATTGGGCGGGTCGGCGCTTGTTGTCCACCACACTCAACAGATCTCCATGGCAGCGGTGGCGGGCGACGCCGACAATACATACATCAACAAGCAGGCGCGCAAGATGCGTACCAACAGGGTCAACTCCCCTGAGCGTGCCAACTGGAGGAGAATTTGTTTTTCTGGGTGTTTTGGCTTGTGCGAATCGATGTACGATGAGCGCAGTACGATGAGCGCAGCGGCGACCGGAGCGAGCGCGACACCGCCGGAGGTTTCCACTGCGCCGCACACCGCACTAACTGCGCAGACACACTCGACGCAGACACTAGCGGTCCCGCCTACTGGTCGATCAAGCCTACTGGTCGAGTAGCACAGGCAGTAGCTCGCAAAGGCATTGACTTGCGCCCGGGTTCCGGCCGAGCCCGTTCCCGCAGTTAGAGCAGAAGTGCACGACATCTTTGGCGTTGTCTAAGCAGCCTGGAACGAGGAGAGGAATGCAGCACCCGACAGTGGCAGTGAAGGCGGCTGCCTCAGCAAACTCGGGCAACGCATTGGTGACGCCCACATGCCCACAGGAAGCGCACCGGGTCCGCTGCGAGGTGCGACCCCACGGATATCTGTCATACTCCTTCTGGGATCTGGCTTCTGCAGCTCGATCGACCTCGGCCGCCCGGATGGTCGCCGCATCAACTCCCGTTGCCTTCGCGCGTTCGATGGCTGAAGCGAGCTTCCCAACATCAATGCGCGTCACACCAATCCTCGCTACCCAACGCGGCCAAAGGATATCCACCTCGAGAACCTCGAGAACACCTATGTTGGTTTTTTTCTTTTCTCCGACAGGCGCGACACACATGGATCGCATCGCAACGGGCGAGTCGCTCTCCTCGCTGCGCAAGCGTCTGGCGCACAAGCACGAGCTCACCGAGGAGCGTCCGCGCGCCTCTTGCTGCGCCGGGCGCACGCGCTCAGCCCGCCGCCGGTTGCTCGTAGGCGACTCGCCGCGACGCGAGCAAGGTCAAGGCCCAGATTAGCGGGTTGCGCGCGATGCAGAAGTCCGCCGACGAGGCTGCGAAAGCCGACTTCATGCGGGACATCGCGAGCATCCGGCGCCAGACCGACGAGGCGCGCATTCAGCTCGAGGAGAGGCGCAGAAAGGCCGACGAGAAGGAGGCGTCGCTGGCAGAGGTGCGCGCGCAGCTGGACGAGCTGCAGGCGCGGAAGCGGGAGAAGATGCGCGAGGCGAGGGAGCAGAGAGAAGCGCGCCTGGTCCCTCTCCGGGGTGAAAACGAGCGATTGTACAACAAACTGATGGCTGCGGAGAAGGATCAGTATAATACGCACACATGAGGGATGCTCTTCAATCGTACTGTTAAATCTACGTTCGTGCTTCCACGTCGACCATCACTCATCACGACTTGGGCCTCAGCCCGTGTGAGATCCTGCTGCTGCTCGCTGAAACTCACTCCTCTCTGTCCTCGCACATATCGCTTAGATCGGTCCACCGGCCGCTTGTCCGCTTTCGCCTTTCAAAGAGCCCCTTTCCCGCCGCGCTTTTTCGTCGACCTCGAGGCGGCTCCGCCGCTATCGAGTATCGTCGCGCGCGCACTCTCCGCACTGCGTCGCTATTCCTTGGGACACACCATCGACTCACAAAGCAATCAGTCTTTGGCACGCACGCCTCCCCGCGGCTTGCGGCCTCTGCGGGGGAGCGTTGCCGTTGGGCGCGCGCAGCCAGCGTCCGCTTGCGCGCCCTAAGACACCAAGCCCATGTGCGCAGGCGTTTGCCCGGTCAGTCCGTCGAGCCCCATCGCCAGCGCCGCGTTTGCCTGCCTCAGCCTGTCCTCGAGCGCCTTGTGGCGCGCCGCGTGGGCCGCGTCCGAGTCAGAGATACCGGCGATGAGCTTCGAGAGCTGCGCCTTGTGCTTAGCGATGAGCTCCTCCTGCTTGGCATTGGCCTCCTTCGTTAGCTCCTGTCAGGGGCGAGGCCCTACCGTCATGGGTGCGCCACGCTTCGCAGTGGCTCAGAGGCGCGGCTCTCACCTCGCGCGTCACGTTGACCGCCACCTCGACCGCCTGCTCCACCTCAGCGCCAGCCCGCGTGGCCACTTCGAGCTGTGCGCTCGCCACCGTCTTTGCGAGCTCCGCCTGGTGCACGAGCCGCAGCCGCGCCTCCGTCTCCGCCATCGCCTCTGCCTGAGCGGTATGCGCCTCTTCCTCCGCTTGCCGCAGCCGCGCCACGGCGTCCTCCTCCGCCTGCCGGAGCTTGGCCGCCGAGAGGTCGACAGACGCGGCGTGCTGCTCCCGGAGCCGCTCCATCTGCTCCTCCAGCTCGGCCCTCTCCTTCTCCCGCTCCTTCTCGAGCACCGCAAAGGCGGCGTCGTGCTGGCCCTGCTGCTGTCGCAACGCCGCCTCGTGGGCCTCCCTCGCCTCCTGCAGCGCCTGCTCGAGCTTGCGGGCGGTCGCCTGGAGCGCCTCTGCCGTGGCGCTGTGCTGTTCTTTGAGCGATCGGACCTCCTCCTCGCGGTCGGCCGCCTGCTGTGCCCGCTCCACCTCGAGCGCATTGATGGTCGACAGGTGCCGCTCGTTCTGCCTCTGCTCCTTCTCACACGACAGCCGACCCTGCTCCCGATCCCGCTCGAGCGCCGCGACGGCCGCGGCGTGCTGCTCGTGCTGCATCCGCATCGCCTCCTCGTGCTCCGCCCTCTCCGCCTCTCGCTCCTTCTTAATCGCCGCCACCGTCTCTGTGAGCGCCGCGACGGTCGCGTCGTGCTTCGCTTGCTGCTGCCGGATCGTCTCCCCGTGCTCCACTGCATCCCGCTCCCGCTGCTGGTCGAGCGAGCGGATCGCATCCTCGCGCTCCAGGTTCGTCCGCTCCCGCTCCCGCTCGCGCGCCGCGTCCATCTCTGCGCGCGCGGCGGCTGCAGAAGTCTCTCTCTCCCATGCCTGGTCCTTGAGCTGGAGGGAGCCTTGCTCGAGCGCCGCAATAGCCCCTTTGAGCGCCGCAACCTCGGCGCCTTGATGCTCCTTGAGTGCCGCGATATCTGTACTATGCTGCTCCCTGAGCCGTCGCTGCTCCGCCTCAAACCGATCCCTCTCTACCGAGGCTGCCTCCGACACCGCCTTTTCAACCTCATCGCTGCACTCCTGCGCAAACTCGGCCGCGGCCTGCTCGATCGCCTCCGTGCGGGCGGCGGACACCGCCTCGTTGAGGGCAGTCGCATGCGCCTCCTCCATCTCCTTGATCCGTTCCGTCAGAATGCTGACGGTGGCCGCGTCATCGCCGGCGAGACGACTCGCCATGGTTTGGGCGTCGGCGGGCGCTTCGCTTCAACGTTCCAGCCAGCGCGTTTGGCCGCGACGGCCGCTGTGCATGAGCGAGATTGGGGAAGCCTCCGGTGCTGGCGGCGTCGCCCTGTCTGCGGCAGGCGCCCTGTCCCGGCTGCACGCCGAGCGCCTTGCCAAAAATGTCCCGCTCAGTGCGAGCGAGCTCTACAATCCCGCGCTGACTCCCTCCAGCGTGCTGGGCCGCTTCCTCGAGTCGTGGCCGAGCATCTTTGTTCTCTGCTACAAGGAGACCTGCGATGCGCACCGCCACTCGGGCGCCGCTGATGGGAGACGTGTGTGGTGGCAGTCGATCCAGCCGCGAGTCGTCGTCTTTGACGGAGCCGAGGTGGACGCGCGGCACACCGACGCCGTCCGCTGGGCCGGCTGCGACCTGCCGGACGCACCAGCCGGCCGGAGCGGCGCCCCTCCGACGCGAGAGCCGTGCACCTTTGCACAGCCTAGCGGCGGTGCGGACTGGAGGCGCACCTCAAAGCACCGGCTGCTCGCGACGCTGGCGCATCTCGCGCTGGTCGAGGAGGCGGAGAGGCGCAACCTCTCTCGGGTCCGCTCCTCCTCCCTCGGGGCGAGCGGCTGGCCTGTCCATCACCGCCGGTGCGCACCCCGTCCCCAGGTGTTGATCCTCGAGGCAGACGCGGTGCCCTCGCTCGCCAACGAGGAGCTCAGCCTCGAGCCGAGCCGTGCGGCCGCCCTCGGCGCTCGGTTGAGCGCTGCCTTTGCATCGCGCCACCCGTGGTCCGTCCTCCGGCTCAGCGGGATGTTCTACTCGCGTGAATTTGCTCGCCCGCTCTCACCGCAAGCGAGGCGCGGCGGGAGGCGCCGCTCCTGCTCTCCGCAGTGCCAGTGCACGCCCTGGGCAGGGCTCGCGGCGACGGAGGCCGCCACGAGCAGCTACCCGCTCGCGTGCGAGGTTGCGCCCGATCCGAACCCCTCCGACACCGTCCTGCCGATGCTCGAGCGGCTCGGCCGCTGGTGCGACGTGCGGGACACCTCCGCCTACGCCGTCCACCGGAGGGCCTACCCCGCCTTCACGAGCTACCTGCGGCGGCTCCTCGTGCGGCCGGCGTGGCTGCGCGACGCTGCAAACAACGCGCCGCCCATCGACGTCTGGCTGCCGCACGCGCTGCCCTCCGTCTACCTGCTTCCCACCCTGGTCTCGCAGCCCTCCTTTGCAAACGACTCGCAGGGTGCCACGGCGCTTATGCGGCAGACGAGCGCCCGCCAGTTCATGAGGCTCTGCTCGGGGGGAGGAGGGGGCAGCGGGGTGGATGCGGCGCCCGAGGGCGGCGGCCGGCAGCGGCGAAAGATGAAGCTCTCCGCCTTTGCAACCAGGCACATCTACCTGCTGAGCGATCGAGAGGTGGCGGCGGCGGCGTGAGGGATGGGCCGGCGGCAACGTTTGGAGTGCTTGGCTGCCTGGCTGCCTGGCTGCGGCGGTGCGGTCACGCACGCACCACGCTGCCGGTCCCGCTCCTGGCGGATGCGCGGCGGTCTTTTGAGCCCCGGGTTTGGCGCGCGAGGCTTTTTTTCTTTTTTCCGGACATTCTTTTCTTTTGAGCTAGCTTTCGATGTTGTGAAACAAACGCAAGGCGGACATGGCATATCGCTCTCGCGCGTACAAAAAATTTCTTTTCTTTTGAGCTAGCTTTCGATGTTGTGAAACAAACGCAAGGCATATAGCACCAAAAATTTCTTTTTTTCCGGCCATAAGGTATCGGCAACCGGAGTGGGCAATGGGCAGACGCTCTAGCGTCGATTTGGGCCAGCCAGCCAGCGTTGAAGTCGACTTCGAGCGCGGCGGACGAGTCGATGGTGCGGAGGGTATCGCCTGTCCGACGTGGTGCGAGTTCATGGAGGACTCGCTCCACCACCCAGAGTGGGGCTACTACTCGGCTGCCCGCGTCGTCTTTGGCGAGTCGTCTGACGCCGCTGACTTTACCACCTTTCCCGTCTCGATGCGGCCCGCGTTTGGCGCGATGATCGCGGACCGGCTCCACGGCCTCTGGCTCGCCGCCGCCGGCGGGAGCGGCCCGTTTGTTGTCTGCGAGCTCGGCGCTGGCACCGGCGTGCTCGCCCATGACGTGCTGACGCACATGGCCGACCACCTCCCGCGCCTGTACGCCGTCGTGCAGTACGTGATCGCGGAGCGATCGGCGTCGCTGCGCTCGCTGCAGGCCGCAACCAACGAGCGCTTCGTGTGCGAGTCGAAGCTGCGAGTCGTCTGCGCCGACGCGAGAGACTTGGGCGGCGCGCGGCTGCGGCAGGAGCTGCAGGCCGCCGCGGCTGCACACTGCGCCTCTGGAGGCGAGGGCGAGGTTGCGCGTGTGCGGGGCGCGGTCCTCTCGAACGAGCTCCCCGACGCGTTTGGGGTCGAGCGCGCGCTTGTCGGCGCAGCGCTGCCGCGTGCCACCGCCGCCGAGGGGAGCAGCGCAGGGGCAGCGAGGCCGGCAGAGCTCCGGCTGCAGCGTGGCAGAGTGCTTCCGCTGCTCCGTGCGTGCCTGCCGCCTGATCTCCCCTCCTCTCCACCTCTCCCCCTCTCCGCCTCTGCTCTCCTCCTCTCCTCCTATCGCCACCTCGTGCCCCTCCTCCTGCCACACCTGAAGAGAGGTCCTCCGACCACATCGCAGAGGGGTCGCGACCACATCGCAGAGGGGTCGCGACCACATCGCCAGAGGGGTCGCGGCCAGGTCGAGCCAAGTGTTGCCCTGCAGGCGCCGCCGATTGCCGCCGGATCGTCGCGCAGAGCGGCGAGCCCCTCCCAGCGTGCCTCGAGCCCGCAGCCCTCTCCTCCTCCTCGCACGCGGCCCGCGCCGCTAGATGCTGGAGATGCAGAGCAGCCTTTGCACTCCATCTTCATTGCAACTGCGCCCGGACCCTCGTAGCGGGCAGAGTTGGACAGATCTCGAGGAGTACACACAGATGGACCCCCCAACCATCCACAGCAAAACTGACCCCGGAATTCATGCACACAGCGATGCCCTCAGCTTCCCTCTGGCCGTGCTCTAGGCTCGCGCCGCCCTCTCCGCCGCCCTCGGGCGGGGAGAGTGGGAGCTCGGGCTCGCAGGCAGCCAGCTGCTGGGCGAGGGTCCGCCCTCCTGGACACCTCCCAGTCACCTCCCAGACGCCGCCCTGCAGGCAGCCAGCTGCTGGGCGAGGCGGCGGACGCCCTGGACGAGTGGCTCGGCGGGGAGGGAGAGGGCGAGGGGGAGAGGGAGGGCGAGGGGTGGCTGCTGCTCAGCCGGCAGGCGTACTGCGCGCTCAAGGGCCGCTGCTGCCGGGCGGCGGCAAGTCCATGACACGTCCACGACTTGTCCATAGGCTTACTGCGCGCTCAAGGGCCGCTGCTGCCGGGCGGCGGCGGGGGTCAGCGAGGCTGCCGACGCGAGCGCACGGGGGGCAGAGGGCGGTGCGGCAGAGGGCGGTGCGGCAGAGGATAGCGGGCCGAAAGGCGGCGCGGCAGAGGGTGTTCCAGACGCTTTTGCCTTTGGGGGCGCGCTCGAGGCGAGCCGGCCGCCCGCGCGTCACGGAATGTGCTTCCATGAGTCTGCTGGAGCCCCTCCTTCGCCCTTCCTTCGCCCTTCCCTCAGGCGGCGCTGGACCGCGCATTGGTCCTCGGCGAGGCGTTCGAGGACGTTCGGCTGTCCGGCGAGGACGACGCGGGCGACGCCGCCGTCGACGAGGAGGCGCACCACCTCCGCAGATGGCTGCGCCTGCACGCGCCGCCGCTGCGCGCCGCCTTGCGGGGCCGGCCGGTGGGGGAGCGGCTCGAGCTGTACCCGAGCCCCGCCTTGCCTCGCCTCGCCGCCGGCCTCGCCAGCCTCCTCGACGAGGGGGGCGTCCTCACAATCGACTACGGCGCCGACGCGGCGACGCTGATTCGGTCGGCGCGCCGCGTCCCGCCGCGGCCGCCGCGAGCGGGCGTTGCCGCGGCTAGCCGCTCCTCCGCCTCCAACGTTTCCGAGCCCTCCGCCTCTGCCTCCGCCGCCGCCGCCGCCGTTTCTACCCGCGCCGTATCCTCGGGGATGCGGGTGCGATCCCGGCTGCCGGCGCCACCGGGCCATGGCGCGGCGCTCGCGCTCCGCCGCCCCGGCTGGTGCGACCTCACTGCCGATGTCGACTTCACCGAGCTCGCCGCCGCCGGCGAGGCACGCGGGCTGGCCACGCTCTTCTTCGGCCCGCAGACCGCGCTCGAGCGAGTGCCGTCGGAGACGTCGCACCTCGCGCCTAGGGCCGAGGTGGAGGAGGCGGAGGGGGGGGGGGAGGCGGAGGGGGTGGAGGAGGCAGCGCCGCGGGTGCGCGTGACGGACGGCTCGCCGCCGCTGCGCCGCGGAGTCTGCGAGGCCTTCTACGCGCTCGGCACCTTCGTGATGCTCGTGCAGGCGGAGAGAGAGGTAGGGAAGAGAAGGGAAGGGAAGAAGAGGGCAGCCCTCGTGCAGGCGACGCACGCGTTGCTACGCTCGTCTTAGAATCTCCTTCCAGTCCTTGGGACCGCTCTTCGAGTTGAGCGCGCCTCCGTTGCTTCTTTCGCAGGCGACGCCGCGCGTGGCGCAGCGCTGGCGCTGGCGCGTCGCCTCCTCGGCCTTGTACGGCGGCGGCCACCCGTCCCTCGGCGCCATGGCGGCATTGCACACGCTGCGCTCGCTAGATGCCTCTCGGAGTCCCGGCATTTTTCCAACTAGCACTCGAGACGGCATGCACTCGGCTGCATTCCAACGCAGTGCCGTCGCATTTGCCTCCTCAGCTCGCGCATTCTCGTCCACTAGTTTGCGCTCGCTCGCGAGGCTGGCGCTCGGGCACGCCCTCCTCCTCCTCGGCCGCGGGGACGCTGGGCGGAGGAAGGGTGGGGGCGAGGACTGCGAGGACGGCGCTGCGCCCTCCCTCCCGACAGAGAGGGACCTGGTCGCGTCGCTTGCAGACGCGCTCCTCCCCGCGCTGCCCTGCTTCCGCCTTCACTGGCGCGCCATCGCGCGAGGCGTCCTCCTCCTCCTCGAGGCGTCGGGGCCGGGGGCGGGCGGGGCGAGTCTCCGCCTGAACGCAGCTGCTCAGCGCCTCGATCGCGCCGAGCCGCCGCTCTCGCTGCTCTACCGCGCCGCGCTGGAGCTGGCCGCACACGACATGGCGCTGATGGCCGGATGACGCGAGCATCGCGCCGCCTCTCGCGCCGCGCCTCTGCCTCATCTGTCCGTCGAGGCGAGATTATTATTTTTCGATTTCTGTATGAATCTGTATGTGTACATTCTACCGGTCGTGGCGCTGGCGCGGGGCCCAGCCCGCGCGGGGGGCGGGGGGGCGGGGGCACTCCTCGAGCTCCTGCGGGTCCTGCCTCGTGGCACGATATACGTGCACCGCGGCACGCCTCACCGAAAGTCTCCACTTTCATCTTTCTATTGCAATACGCCTCCCCCTCTCGCACGTCACATGGTCGTGGTTATCGTTCCAGTTGCTGCTCCCGACCTCCCGTGCGCCTTAGGCTTGCCCAGTCGCGCCGCCCGGCGCCGAATATCGCGGCGCGGCACGGCACAAGACTCGTGCCCCCGCCTGCGTCTCGACGCTTCGGATGTCGCGCACCACACGGCGGAGCGCCGCCTCGTACAGCTGCGCGTCATCGCGCGTCACCGCGTCCACGGTGGGAAGCAGCGCCTGGGGCAGCGCGCTCAGCCCGAAGTCGCGAGGCCCGCCATGCGTGCGGTGCTCGTGACGCATCGTCCCCCCCCCGGCGGAGCGGTTTGCGTCCGCGTTGCAGACGCAGGATGGTGGGAGCGCGCCCTGGACCCGAAAGTGGACGACGCAGAGGCTCTCGTGGTATAGCTCTGTGACGCCCAGCAGGTCGACCTGCCGCACCACCTCCATCGCGCCGGCGAGGTTGGCCTCGCCATCGTAGTGGTGGCTGGCGTAGCCTCCTCTGCGAGCGCAGGTCAAGGCCCGGGTCTGCAGGCTGCGCGCGTCGTAGCACCCAAAGTCATCGACGCCCGAGCGGCGGGCGCTGCCCTGTACGCGAGCAAAGTGGCGGATCCAAGGTTCGAAGCCGGCCAGAATCGAGGCTGCGGTGCGGTTCCTCGAGCCACCGAAGCGCTCACCGAAGCGGTTTATGCCGCAGCGAGTCCTCTTGCACTCTTTTTGCCACTCGGCGTGCCTGAGCGAGTCGGCCCACGTCACCCACGAGCCAAAGCGGGTGAAGCGGCACTCGAGGAACTGCGAGAGTACGTGCGACCGCGGCTCCCGCAGCAAGACGAAGTTGAGCGTCGATGGGCTGCTGCTCTTGTACGGTGGGTAGCAGGCCTCCATGGTTGCCTGCGATGCGCTGCCGAGATCATATCCGAGCGCTTGCAGCTCGACGATCGCAGACGTGCCAGCGGTCTTTGGAATGTGGAGGAAGCGCAGCGGCGGCTGCCACCGTTGCGCGGGGAGGGGCGGTGGCGGCGGTGGTAGCAGCCTCTGCCTTGTCGGCCGTGGCATGAAACGAGCCTTGACCGTTGTCCACCCTCCGGTAGCCCTGCCTCTCGGAGGAAGGGTTCACGAGGCGCAGCTGACTTCCTCCGGAGGCGCTACGCCGCTCGCGGTTCGTACGCCCGCTTGCGGGTTCGAGTGGCGGGCTATCCCGCTTGCGGGATGGCTTAGCGGGTTCGAGCCGTCACACATTGGCTGCCGGGGTGTGCCGAGGGGGGGCTGGGTGGGCGGTAAGCCGTCATTGCCCGGCGCTGCTTGCAGCGCTCTGGGTGGTAGTGGCGGCGCTCCAAGAGTGGTGCTCTTGGGAAGAGGTTCCTCCTTTCCGCTCCCCCCCCGCAAGGCGCGAGACACACACTACTCGAGTATCTATACGCCTTCGTCCCTCCTTCGTCTTGGGGCGGCAAGACACCTCGACCGGTCTCCGCTCCGGCTTCATCTGGCTCCGCATCTCCGAGAAGATGCGGCGCGGCTGGGTGGGCGTTCCGGCGCATCGTGCGCCTCCCCCTCACCGCGAGGTCCTTTCACGGCCACGCCTCGCTCTTGCCCCAGCTCGGGGAGCTAGGCAGGGCCTACCTCGCCGCCCGGGCGGCGCTCGGGGCGGCGCCTGAGTGGCTCTTCCAGCTGCCCGGCGAGCGGCGGCCGCTGACGCGTCACATGGCGGGCAGGGTGAGCGAGACGCTCGACGAGGAGGGCGTGCGGGCTCAGGCCGGCTTCGTCTACCTCGGCCACTCGCTGCGCTCTTGCGGCTCGAGCGCCGCGGAGGCCATCCGAGTGCCCCGCTTTCGGGGCAACTGCCAACTGGCTCGGCGGCTGGTCTCAGAATGGCCGGACACTTGGAGCACTTGGAGTGCAGTCATTAGCCTCACATCCAGGGCCGGGGAGCTAAGAAGCGCACCCAGCGGGCCGGATGATCGGGATCGGGTTGCGGGCAAGAGAGCCCTAGCCCCGGGGGTGCGCGTTCGCAGGGCAAGGGCCTTAAAGTAAACACGGGTCCCCGAGGGTTGGCTCTGCGCTCCGGGTTTCCCCTAGCAGCGGAACGCCCCCTCTACTCGGGGCTAGTAGACACGCGAGCTTCACTACATGGACCCGTCGGTGCTGCCGTCGCCCGAGGCCTACGAGCTTCTCGGCTGGCTCCTGGACGGATCCTACCAGGCGCTTCCACCGTCGTGGGAGCGCCGCCGCGGCGCTATGACACAGCGGAGCCTGGCGAGCCGACGAGCTAGCTCCCTCGTCACACACGCGCACGGACGCATGGAGATCCGCGCGCGTGCCACACACACACACACACTCCATGGGCGAGCCCGCTCTCGCTCCGCCGCTCGTGCGCCCCGCACATGTCGGCTTTCTCATGCCTCCGGCCTCCGAGCGCCCACCTCGGGCGCTCGGGCGGTGGGGAATGTCATATCGGTTCCCTGGGCGTTCACTAGCGCTCGCTTGTGGATGAGAACGGCGTTCTCTGGGTAAGCTCAGCTGTGAACTTCCCGGTTGTTTGCTCTCCCTCCCTCCCTTACCCTGTTCATGACTTGCTAGCGGGACCTGAGTATTGTATAAAATACTGTAAGGCATATCGGTTCCCTGGGCGTTCACTGGCGCTCGCTTGTTAGATATTTAGGCAAAAGGGCGGAAAAAAACGACACAAGCGAGCGCTAGTGAACGCCCAGGGAACCGATAGCGAGGTCCGCAGCTGCAGTCCGCGCTTCCGCTCGAAGGGGTTGTCGCTGTCGTAGTCGCAGGCAAGCTTGTGGCCGCCGAACAGCTCGCCGATAGCATCGTCGCGACCGACGCCGCCGCCGAGGCGGGGGGGGCCGCGGTGACCACCGCCGCCCATGTCGTCCTCCGACGAGTCGGCGTCGGAGTCTGGGGGGGTGGGAGGGTCGGGGCGCACCCGCTCGCGGTCCTTGGCCGCCTTGCCGCCCGCTCCGCCGCCGTCGCCGCCGCCACCGCCGCCTCCCGGTGGGGGGTCTTCCCCGTCGGGCTGGGCGGCTTGAGCCTCGAGCCGCTCGAGCCGCTTGCGAAGCACTCGCAGCTCCTCGGCCGAGTCCACAGGAGCGGGAGGCGCGGCTGGGGCCCCGTCGGTGCCCCCGCCAGCCCCCGAGGGGGCTCCGGCCCAGAGCCATCTTTTGCCTCTGCGGGCTGTACGTCTTGGTCAGCGTCGGAAGCGCGCTTTGGCGCCGATTTGCCCATATCGTTGGGCGCACGGAGGGAAGGAGAGGTGGGCTCCTGCCCGAGAAGGTCGCGGGACCTGCGCAGAGCTCGCTCTGCGTGATGCCGCTCGAGCTTGGGCGTGCACGCAAGGGGTCACGCGCAAGCAAGAGCCCGAACAACTGGGAAGTTCACACAGCTGAGCTTTCCAGAGAACTCCGCGTCTCATCGGCTTTGGACAAGCTGTTCAATGGTTCTGACGCTCGTGCGCTCGTCCCGCCCTTCCGTGACCCATCCTCCAGGCGCTGAGGAGGCCGCGACGGAGCACGAGGACGGAAGCGACTCGGACGACCCCCTCCCCGGTTCTCGCGGCCACAGCCCGTTCTCGTCACGACTCGCGCCGCGCCGGCTGGTGGGCGAGGCGTCCGCCTCTGGCGCGGGCGCTAGTTTCCCGATGTACGTGATGCGAGTATCAGACTTTCTCCGCCTCGAGCGGCTCACCACGCATAATGAGCTGCTCCGCCGCGGCCTCCTTCGCCGGCTGGATGATCACGATCTCGAGGCGCATGTCCACTTTGTCTCCCACCAGGCACGCGCAACCGCCGTGCGCCGCGTCGCCCCCCCACCCCCGCACCCCCCCACCCTGCTACGGACACACAACACCGACACAATCCGGCGAGGCACCACTCACACAGGGGTCTCTCCCCCCGCCGCCACGCCGCACCGTCACAGCCGTCTCCTCCGCCACCGCGCCGCAGTGGTGCGGCCGATCGGAGGCCGACCCGAACGGGGACCACCTTCGCACGATGCAGGGCGCCTTTCGCATGGCGCGCGCCGGCCAGCACGACGAGCTCTTCCGCTCCACCTCGGCAGCTCCGCCCTGCACCTCCGCCCTCGAGAGGCTCCTCGGGCGCCTTCCTTCAGCCTGCTCGGACTCGCACGCGTAGGACAAGCTCGCCTTCTTCAAGGGCTACTCGAAGAACAACGCGCGCTTCCTGCGCGACCTCTCGAGCAGCCGCTCCTCCCGGCGGAGCACGCCTCGGAGCACACCCTGCTCCACGCCGGGCGCCACGCCGGACCTGCGCCGCCGGCCGGTCGGGCCGAAGGAGGGCGTGCCCCTCCTCGCGGCGGCGGCAGCTAAGGCGGCGAGTGGCCGGTGCGGCCTCGGCGAGCGCTTCTCCCATGGCTTCTCCTTTCGGTGCGCCGCTTCTGTTCCGGACGACCCTCTCCCCGGACCCGTCTCGGAGCGTCCCTCTCTTAGGCGAGCACTCCTCGGCGGACGTGGCGGACCGCTCCTCGTCCTCCCGCGGGGGCGGGGCGGTGGGCGGGGCGAGGACGTCCCTCTCCTCGCTCGAGTCCATCGACTCTGGCGGCGAGGAGGCCTCCCAGCCCCCCTCCCCCTCCGGCCTCGCCTCTGTCACGCCAGAGCCTCAGGGCCCCGCGCCGCCGAGCCACTCCGGCCTAGACTCCGGTCCTAGCTCCGGCCCCTCCGGCGGGAGGCGGAGCTTTCCCAGGTCGACACTGAAGTCGACTCCGCGCTGCGACTCGCCCGCCATCTCGACCGCCGACCGGAGGCCCGACGCGCTCGAGCTGGCGGCCCTCTTCTCTCAGTCTGTCGGCAGCGGGTGTGGGGCGTGATGGCCGGACGCCGCTGGCCCGCCGCACGGCACCGAGCCGCTGAGGGGCTCGGGCCCTGCTCCCGCAGGTGGGTGTGGATGGACTATGTCTCGATCCCGCAGACGCGGGGCTGCCTCAACGAGGAGGAGCTGCGCGAGACGGCCGCCGCGCAGCGCCTCGCCATCAACAGCATCCCGGCGTACGTGGCGCGCGCAAACAACTTTTGGGTGTGCGCGCCGTCGGGCGTGCGGCACGAGGACGGCGAGCGGTGCGACTACGCGACGTGGTCGTCCCGCGGCTGGTGCCGGATGGAGGAGTGCTGCCTCGCCCTCAACAACTGCGGCGACGGCCGCCCAAAAGCCACGCGCAGCCGGTCGGTATCTCCCTCCATCTCCCTCTATCTCCCTCTCTCTCCTTGTAGGCCGACCCCTCCTCGTCACGCAGCCGATCGGACAGCGGCCGAGGGTGCAGGTGCTCGACTCGTTGGACCGGCTGACGGTCCACACGCAGCGCCGCACCGCCGTCCTCACCGGCCGCTTCACCTGCTGCGAGACGGGGCACCGCCGCAAGACGGCCGACGGGAGGGAGGAGTGCCTCCCGTGCGACAAGGTTGCGCTGCGGCCGGTACTGAGCGCGCTGTACGAGACACAGCTGGCGACCCTCCGCTCCAAGTTCGAGGCGCAGCCCGGCCACGCAGGGCCGTTCTGGGACGTGCTCGACGCCTCGATGCGCGGAGATGGCACTTTCTTCAAGCACTTGCTGCTGCGCATGCACCGGCAGTGCTTGCTTGCCGAGTCGCTGCAGGAGCCCGCCGAGGGCGAGGCGCCGCCGGGCGCGAGCGGGATGCCGATCGGTTGGTCCAAGCGCTTCGAGGAGCTCGAGCTCCGCGACCTCGAGGAGTACGTGCGCACGTGGGGCGTCGACGGGCTCGAGGAGCAGCGGGAGGAGCTCGCCGTCCTAGCGGCGCGAGAGGGGCACCTCCCAATGCTGCGCTACATCGTCGAGCGGTACGGCGCGCCGCTGCGAGTCGAGCCGAGCCCGGTCGGCCTCACGCCGCTGCAGGAGGCGGCGCGGCTCGGCTGCCTGCAGGTCGTGCGCTACGTGCTTCAGGCGCAGGGCGTCGACCACGCGGCGATCAACCACCGCTCGCCGTCCACGGGCTGCTCCGCCCTGAGCGACGCGGCGATGCGGGGCCACGCTGGCGTCGTCTCGCTGCTGCTCGCCGCTGGCGCGCAGGTCGACGCGCCGCGCAAGGACGGCAAGACGGCGCTGCACTGCGCCGCCGAGCAGGGCCACGCCGCGGTGGTGCGACAGCTGTTGCGCGCGGGCGCCGACCCGCTCGCCAGGGAGGAGGAGGGGCGCACGCCCGCCGAGCTCGCGGAGGTGTGGCACGAGGACGCGCGCGCGTTCCTGCTCGCCGCCGAGGAGCACCAGGGACAGTCATGACAGGGACAGTCAGGGCGCAGGAAACGGGAGCGGGGCCCGAATCCAAGGGACCTCCCCGTGTCTGACGCGTGACGCACTGTATCGGTGACGAGACGGTCGACGACCAGGCAGGGGCGCGGCCGGGGTGGGGCGCGCGCGGGGGCGGCGGGTGTGCGGGATGTCTGTGGGCCCGAGAGCGATGTGCGTGTGTCCGCCTTGCGTTTGTTTTCATAACATCGAAGGCTAGCTCAAAAGAAAACAACGGCGGCGTCTTTCCGGCGGAAAGAGCGTCTTCCCAGCCCTTTTTTTTGATCTGACGCCGTTGGCCTGGGTCAAGTCTCGTGCAAATGCAGCAGCTGCCGCCGCTGGCACCGTCGCCGCCGCTGCCACCGTCGCCGCCCGCGCTCGAGTGCAAGTCGTGGTGCGCGGGGAACGACAAGCGCGCCGCCTTACCTGCCCCTTGCCACAAACCCGCCCGCCCGCCTCCCCACCGCCGCCTCTTTCCCCCGTAGGCCGTGGGAGAAGAAGTGCAACTGGATCAAGTGCGGGAATTGCCCGCAATGCTTACTGCTGCCGCCGTCGCCGCCGCTGTCGCCGTCGCCGCTGCCGGCGCCGCCCCCCGCCCCGCCTCCCTCGCCGTCTCCCGACGGCGCGGGCGTTTGCTCGGTGTGCGCCCATCCCCAGTGCGGCTGCGACCTCCTCGGCCAGTCCTGGTGCACACCGGACCACTGCCACGCTGACCTGGACGCGGCTGGCGCGTGCACCTGGGGAGTCACTTGCTCGACGTCGGCCCCGCCCGCCCCACCCGCGCTCGCCCTCGCTGAATGGAGCGAGTGCTTCGGCGAGGGCGCGTGCGCCGAAGGGCTGGAGTGCTTCCGGTGCATGACTAGATCGTTCGAATCGCGGAGATGGATTAGCCTCACATTCGGCCGGCAACGAGATGAGGTCTCCATCACGGCGGGATCAAGAGGATTAGCCTCACATTGTGATCAGCGGAATCATAGGAACCACGAATGGCACGCCCAGTGCCTGACCGCGTGCCCCCTCTACGTGTCAAACGGCGCCGGCGGGACGCAACACTACACCGCCGGGTGGCAGTGCGAACTGTCGTCGGGAGAGCCTCCGCCGCCCCTGCCCCCACCGCCGCCGCCGCCGCCTCCGCCGCCCCCACCGCCCCCGCCTCCGTCGCCGTCTCCGCCTCCGCCGCCGTCCGGGGGGGGCAACACCTGCTGGCGGGTCCCTAGATGCACACCGGTGCGCAAGCCGCCGCCGCACGACTGACACGCTGACCCGAATGAACTCGCACTCTGTTCCGCACCCCTCTCGTACGCTCTCGTCGGCCCTTGCGCCCACAAACACACAACGTCTCTCGAGCACACTCGACTCACGTGACGAGACATTCAACGAGCGTGCACCGCTCCTCACCATGACTCACGAGCCGACTCACGGCAGCCCCTTCATTTCTCCTCAGGCGGCCGATCCCCGAGTACGACGGCAAGGGGATGACCTACGAGATGGACCACGTCGCGCCCTTCCTGCGCTTCGCCACCTCCGCCACCCTCACCATGACCACGATGCCGGACATGGCTCTCGCGCCCGGCCCAAGCTATGACTACGTCGCCGAGGCGGACGCCGTGATTGCAAACATGGCCACGGTGGACACGGCCGGCGAGCTGGACGAGATCCGCTTCTTCGACGGCACGCTGCAGCCGCGAGATCTAGCCGAGATGTAGTCGAGGTTGGCCGAAGATTAGCCGGGGTCCGGTTGTGTAACGGCAGAGGCTCAACGTCACCGCTCTATGGAGGGCGTCTCTTCCCACGAGGCGCGTGTCGCTGACTGTGAACAGGCAAGCTGAACGTCGCGCTCGGCCTCATCGGCACGCTGCTGCTCGGGTACGGCCAGTCGATCGAGGAGATCATGTTCCACTCGTTTGGCGAGACGTCGGCGGTGCACGATGCCGGCGTGGCGGTCTGGAAGAACAAGCTTCTCAACAGCCGCATCCGGCCCACGACGGTCATCCACCGAAGCTCTCCGCCCCGACGCAGCTTCACGACGCCACTCGCTGTCACCTTGTGTCCGTCAACTCGTAGGTCATCCACCAGCTCTACCCCGAAGACAACCTCCGGGTGAACGACAACATGACCGTCCGTGGCAAGCACTTCCAGACCATCGTCCGCACCATGTCGCACTCCGAGTGCGAAAGCTTGCGTTGCTGCACCTCCTGTCAGGAGGAGTAGTGCCAGGTCCTGAGACTGACCTGACAACAATAGGTTCCCGAGCGGCTCCGCCGCCGTCTGCGCCGCCATCCGCGACTTCGTCGATGCCCTCTGGCCGCACCTCACCCTCACGGTGCAGGGGAGCGAGGTCAGCTACTCCGACGCCCCCTTCGTGATACTGCCAAACACGTTGATGGCCAACGTCCCGCTCACGGGCGCCGTCAACCCGGCGCCCGGCGGCCTCTCCGCGGCGGCCATCGCCGAGCGGTGCCGCGTGGCGCGCGAGCCGGGCGGGTCTGCTCGCGAGATCACGCGAGGCTGTCCGAGACTAGGTGCGGTGCGACGCGCGAGCTCGGCGGGATGCACTTCAGTCAGTCGGTGCCCGCGGGTCGGAAGCTGGCGGCCGGGATGGGGGCGGAGGCGGCGGCGACTCTCCTCTCGTTGCTGGGGCCGAGGGAGGGGGGCGTGCGGCAGGCGCTGGGCGGGTCGGCGCCCTGTGCCGCGGATTGCTGCGCAGCAGCGGTGGAGTGCAACGCCACGGCGCAGGCGGTCTGCATGGCGGAGTGCGGAGGCCGGTGGGACACGCCGTGGTTTGACGTGGTGCTAGCGCGGGTGGGGGCGCTGGGGGCGCCGAGCCGTGAAGCGGCTACTTCCCACGAGGCTCCGTTCTTCCAAGCGGATCGCAACCACATCATGATCATCGGCGCCACACCGATCGAGCCTCGTCCCCGACTGCTGTGAACGGCGTCGCTTCACGCGTGCTGCCGTGAACAGGCGCCATGGCGGGCCTCGTCCCCGCCATCACCGACGGCTACGCCTTCTCCTTCCAGACGCGCTTCACGAACCTGGTCGACCAGCTGGTCTGGAACGCGTTTGCCTCCAACTCGGACCGCCTGCAGGCCCTCCTCTTCGGCAGCGCAACGCACCGCGGCGTCGAGCCGCTGGTGAGGTCCGGACAGACGTCAACCGACGCAAAGGTCGTGACCGCCATCCATGCGATCGCCGCCGCCCTCCCCTTCTTCCTGCCCGAGGCGGCCGGCGCCTTCTGCGCCGCCCCGGCCCCGTGCTTTCTGCTGCGGCCGACCATCGGGCTGGAGCCCCGCCTGACTGCGAAGTGCGGCAGCCCGTTGGACGGCTACCCGGGCGTGCCGATGGCGGACTTCGACCCGGAGGGAGGAGAGTGGGCCTTTTTCCCCCGGAAAAGGGGGAGTTTCTCCTTAAGTGGCATGGGAGGGGGGGTTTTTCAAACTGGGTCCTTCCCCCCCCTTCCCGGCGCGTTTCCCCACCCTTCCCCCCCCCTTCCCCCCCCTTCCCCCCCCTCCCCCCCCCGTCCGTCCCAACACCACCCCACACCCCACCCCAACACCAACACCCACGCCCCTCTGCCCCTCTGTCAGGACGCGCCGGGCCCGAGCGGGCTCGGGCAGGTCGTCGCGTTTCAGCTGCTGTGGCACCGGCTGCGCGACGGGTGCGCCCCTTGTAGTGTATATCTGTGCCTCACCTCATCTCACCTTACGCACACGGATGACGCAGCCGCAACATCTGCAGTCAAGCTCTGTCCCCCGAGCCGAGGTGGAACTCAATGGGCCTCGACGGCGGGTGCGAGGGCGGGCCCGCGTACTGCTTGCCGTACGCAGAGGGACGCACGCAGTACAACCCGCAGGTGTGGGGGGCTGTCTCGAGGAGTACAGACCTACTTGTCATCGACTAAGTGATTCACTCGTTGCGACCCGCAGGTCGGGGACTGCCTCGAGGAGGAGCTCTTCCCCGCGTCACCCTCGCCACCGCCGCCGTCCACCTCGCCGTCGCCGTCCGCCGAGCCTGTGCCTCCTCCGTCCACCTCGCCGTCGCCGTCCGCCGAGCTTGTGCCTCCGCCGTCGGCGTCGCCGTCCGCCAGGCCCGTGCTCAAGCCGAACGACCGTCCGTCCGTCCGACCGTCCGTCGATCCGCCGCCGCCCTCGCCGCCGCCGCCGCCGCCGCCGCCGCAAGTCTGCTTGGATAACTGCGGCGAATACAACGGATGGTCGGGTGATGGCGTCTGTGATGATGGCGGACCCGGATCGGAGTTCTCGGTTTGCTCCCGCGGGATGGACTGCAGCGACTGCGGCACTCGCCTGACGCCGTCTCCACCGCCGTCGCCATCGCCACCGCCGCCTCTGCCGCCGCCTCGCCCGCCGCCGCCGGCCCCTCCGCCGCCCTCTCCGCCGCCGCCGCCGCCGTCGCCATCGCCACCGCCGCCTCTGCCGCCGCCTCGCCCGCCGCCGCCGGCCCCTCCGCCGCCCTCTCCGCCGCCCTCTCCGCCGCCGTCCGCGTCGCCATCGCCACCGCCGCCCCCTACGCTTGGATGCGCCGACAGCCTATCTTGGGAGGATGCCTGGGGGGATGGCTGCGACTGGTATGCGGAGTACGACCCCGGCTGCACTACATACTCCGATTACGGGCAGCAGTCAAATTGCCCTTCCACCTGCGGCACGTGCTCGTCCGTTCCTGCACTGCCGCCGCCGCCCTCCGCGTCGCCGATGCCGCCGCCGCCCTCCGCCTCGCCGTCTCCGGCGCCACCCTCGCCACCGCAGCCCGAGACGTACACCTACGAGGTGAGGCAAGAGAACGCCGAATGTGCCAACCAGTGGATGAACCTGGGAGAGTACGCCAGTGCTGAGCTCTGCTCGCTCGCCGCGGGAGCAGCCGGCTGCACGACCTTCATGTTCTCCTCGGCGTACACCTCGTGGGGCTGCCGCTGTTGCTCGGGGCCCGACCCGCCGAAGGAGCACTCGCTGTGGACGCTGTACAACGTGCTGCCGCCGCATCCGTCCGCGTCGCCGTCGCCGCCGCCTTGATCTGGTCGAGCGACGCAGAGGCTGCACCTTGATCAAGTGGGACGACGGCAAGGTGCAGCACTGGAGGCAAACGAGCAACCCCATGGTGCAAGTCGGAAGGCCGCGACCGTCCGCAGGAGAGCATGGATTGCATGTTATGTACGTGTACGTGTCACGTGAACCCCCCCCACACCACACACAAACACACACACACACACGACACACACACACATAGAGAGAGAGTTTTACGTGCGAGAGAGAGAGAGACAAACTGCAGGGTGGTTGTTGCCGGTGAATTCCCCGTCTTTGTAGCCTGGCGTTTGTGCCCCGTTTGTGCCGCGTCCCGTGCCCCGGAGTTCATTTTATAATCCTACACGATCGTGCCCCTCCCCTCCCGGGAAACGAATCCGATCCTCGGCCGTGTGTATGCACCTCCTCGGGCGCCTCCGGCTCTCCCTGATCGGAATCATAAGCTCGCGCGCCGCAGCTCTCCGGCTGCCGACCATGGCCGGAGTCCGGATGCGCGGGGCTGGACAGCAGGTGGCCATTCGCTCTGGAGAGCACGGTCGCTTGCTCTCCTCTCCCGGATCGCCATTCACCGCACGCTGTCTTACTCTCGCGTCTCAGGCTCGGATGATGGGCAGCGTGCGTGACCTCAACGACCAGGGCGTCGAGTACAGTGTGCGCAAGACCGAGGCCGCGTGGCGCGAGGCCGGCAGGTCCGGTGAGGACTCGTCTGGGCGGCTCTCACAGCTGCTGCCGTGAACAGGCGGGAGCAGCTCTCGGAGGAGGAGTACTACGTGCTGCGGCAAAAAGGGACCGAGTACCCTGGATCAGGTCAGTCCGCCCACCGGTTGATACAGCGCTTAAGAGAGGTACAACCACAGCTCAATGAGGGAGCACCCGAAGTGCAACGCACCACACACTCACACACACACACACACACACACACACACTCCTTCACTCACTCCTTCACTCCCCCCCCCCCCCCACACACACACACAGAGAGAGAGAGAGAGAGAGAGAGAGAGAGAGAGAGAGAGAGAGAGAGAGAGAGAGAGAGAGAGAGAGAGAGGGGCGATTGAGGGGGTCACAATTCACAGACCTTGCTTTAAGAAGAGATACCTCCCATGCGCTGATCGCCAGCCGACTCACACACGAGGCGTGCCGTGCGTGCTCAGGCAAGTACGACAAGTTCTACCCAAAGGCAGGCCACTTTGTGTGCGGCGGGTCGCAAGCACGACGGGCGCCTCCTCATCAAGTACTGCCACTACTGTCAAACTCCGTAGGCGCGGCGTGGTGACGCAATCTCGCGCAATCTCGCACTCGTGCAGTCTCGTGCACTCTCCCTCTCCTAGGCGCCGTGGTGACGCAGACAGACACTTCCCTCGGGATGCGGCGCGTCGAGATCCTCTGTGGCTCGTGTGGCGGCCACTTGGGCCACGTCTTCGAGGGCGAGACAGTAGAGCGCGAGATTGCGCGAGATTGCGCGAGATTGCGCGAGGTTGGTGCTGAGGCGTGCGGGCGGGTGGAGATCGCCCGAGATCGCTTGTGAGGCTGATTGGTCGGCGGCCGCCCTCCCGAGGGCGATAATAGCCCAAGTCGATGAGTGCGCCCCGGCCTCGACATCTCGGCGGCAGAGGCGACCCAAGCGACGCACCAGAGCACGGCTGGGCGTGTGAGCAGCCGCGTTTGACTGTGAGGCGAATATTTGTCATCGGGAGCGCTCCGCCGACTCTACACCGCCGCCGCCGCCCTCCCGAGGACAGGAGATGATAACGGCCGCCTCGTCGTCGAGCTCGGCGGAGACGATGGTCGCCTCGCGTTTGAACCCCTCGAGCTGCTAGAGCGGCGTCGCACTCGTCGAGCGTAACAGCAATCCGCCCTCGGATGACTTGTTGAGCGCGCCGTAAGCCGCCCCCGTAAGGCACGCGGCAGCCGTCGGGGAGCGCGATCTCGGTCAGCTGGTGCCGTCGCGTGGGCACGGTGCGAGGAACGACATGCTGTGGCAACGACGAGAGCTGTGCCTCGAAGTACAACAAAACAAATCTCTCGAAGTACGAAGACGCGCGAAGGGGAGAGAGAGACGACCAAACTCACCCCAACCCACCCACCCACCCACCCACCCACCCACCCACTCACCATCCGGGGCCTACGAAGCGTTTACCCACGAGCCACTTTTTCAATAACGGCGGGGTACAGGCACGCGGGGTAGTTGGAGAAAAAAACGCACTCGAGGCTCGGCCCGATAGTCGGACCACAGCAGCTTGGGTTCCTCGAGAGAAAGCGGCCGCCCCTTGAGCCTCGCGCTCTGCCCTCCACGGTGCTCGCGCCCGATGGGTCGGTGCGGTATTTTGCGTACGGGTCGAACTTGGGCCGTCAAAAGGTGCTGTCGCGCGGCGCAGCCTCAATAATCTCGACGGAGCGGGCGAACGTGGCGGGATGGCGGCTCGCCTTCACGTTTGCGTTGAACCCGCCGCTGGAGCCTTCATTTGCCTCGATCGAGCCCGCCCCGGCCGAGACGGTTTGCGAGGGCGTGCTCCACACCCTCACCCCCAGCGCATACGAGGAGTTGTGGCGCTCCGAGGGCGGCGGCGGTTCGAGACCCGACTACGATGAGATTGTCGTGCTCGCAAAGCCGTGGAGTGGCAGCGAGCCGGTTAGGGCCATCACGCTGCGGGCTGCGCAGAGCCGGCGCCTCAGCCACGATGTCCCGCCATCGCAGAGATACTTGAGCATGGTTGTCGCCGGCGCGCACGAGGCAGGGTTGTCGCCCGCCTACATCGCGCGCCTCGAGGCCATCTCGGCCGCCGCGCCGTCGGGTTTCCTGGCCGCCGTGGCGGAGGCGCACGGCCTCCTCCTCGTCCTGCTCTACCTGCTCGGCTTGCAGCGCCTCCTCTCGCCCCTCCGCGCCATCTGCTTCCTCCTCCACCGCCACGTGCGGCCCCGTCTACGCGACATCGCGACCGGCCTGCTCCTCCTGCCGACGGCGGCCATCGGCGCCGCCACCCGCCCCGCGCTGCGCTTGCTTGGGCGGGAGCGGTGGCTGAGCTACGCTCGCTACGGACAGCTGCCACCGACGCCCGCGACGACGCTGGCCTCTGCGCGCTGCGTGAGTGAGTACCACTACCAGAGTCGTTAGAGAGCTCCTCGTGCGTCGCAGCGGGGGAGCGGGCGCGTCGGCGATGGGGCTTCTCTCGCCGGTAATCGAGAAGCAAAATAAAACCATCACTGAGGTTTCCTACCTAGAGTGCGGTAGTGGCGACTGGCGTGATGGCAAACCCGACTCCCTCCATCCATGTGCGATGTGGCGCCGCGCCCGATCGTGCGCGATGCCGACGATGGTGCCGCGTGCCGGGAACCCTATTCCGGAGCGATTTCCCCTAGGGTTAGCGCCGAAAAAGTCGGGGCCTTTAGCTCCGGCTAGGGCTATTGGGCCTTCGAAGCCGACCACGAGGAAGGGCCGACTTAGGGTTAGTATAGGCTAGTTCCATTTCACTCTGACACGCTAATCTTGAAAACGTCCAACGGAGCTCCGTGTTGCTCCCAGCGCCCTCCCCCGCGCTTCCTGCGGCCCTAGCCGATGATACTAGCATGGGAGGTCATCTGACTACCGCGAGAGCGACCCAACTCGTCGACATCGTCCGATGATGGTGCCGCAAAGTCAGCCTTCGGAGGCTATCGTGGGGTCGAGCCGGTAGTAGCCGTGACATGTGGTTCCACCACCCCTCTTAGGCTTTGCCTCTGACCGCCACCGTTCCCAGGCTGCCTAATGGGATGGAAAGGAAGGCTCGGCAAGCGTATAGAAGCGTGCTCGACCTCGTCGTGGCAACCTGTACGGCAGCGCTGGTAGGCGCGATGAGCGTCGTGCCACCTGACCCGAGACGGGTCGCAGGCGTCGTACCGAGCGCGTCGAGACCGTGTCCTGATGTGATCTGCACGGGTGCGTCACAAATGTACCTCCCCAGGACGCGCAGAAGCAGCTGCGACCCCGCCGAGTGGACGGCGTCACACAGCGCCACCTGCTGTGTGACGCCGTCCATAGCGGGCCGAGAAGGCCGCGAGCGGCGAGGATGGTTGTGACTTGTGTGTTTGCCACCCTGGGACTCGGACGGCCGCCTCAGAGGGCGGGCATGCGTCCTCTCGCCCTCTCACCCGCGGGAGATGGCCGAGTCCACGGAGCCGCACGCTGCCTCTCCTTGGACGCGCAAGGCTCCGACTTCTATAAAGGGTGTGGATGCTGGGTTGAACAAAAAGGCGGGACGCGACCCACTTCGCCACAGACGGTCCCGCGCCTCGCCGCTAAGACGGGTACACGACCGCGGCTTGTGTGCGTGTACCCGTCTTTGTCCGGAGTGAAAAGTCCAACGCGCTCGTCGGTGGCGGCTTCCCTCAACCTGCGCCGCGCTCGGCGAACCTCGACAGCGCCTTCGGTGGCATGCAGCTCTTTGTGACAGAAGCCTGGAGAGCAGCTCCTCTGCTGCTCACACACTCTGCACAGCTGACACAGCCTACTGTGCGGCTGCCACAGCTGTGACAGCGATGGGCTCGCCCTCACTGGCCCTCAGTCACTTGTGCTGCGGCTTGTGTGAGCGACACTGCTCGGCGACTGCCGGCACACTGTGAGACCGTGGGTGTGAGGTAAAACCACGCTACCAGCGCTTGGTCACATCGGCCCCGAGGTCAGATCCATCTACTCTGTTGATGACAAGACTTGTCTACCGGCTGGAGCCGAGCAGGAGGGCTTGGCGCACAACCCCTTGGTCAACTCACCCTCCACACCCCGTAGAGAAAATCCTTCGATATCTGCACCAGCGTTTTAAAGTGAAATCAGAAGAGATCGATGCTCCGGGCTAGGCTTTGGGGTAGGCAGCCACCCTTTCGAAGGTGAGGCGTGTCTGTCGACTGGAACTAGCCTCGGACAGACACATCATTTCAAGCTCACGTCCAGCACTTCGAGCCCGGCCCCCCTGGCCGCCGTTGCGAGCGCCGCCGCCGTCTCAGCCACGCTGCCGCGGACATCCACGAGGACCTCAAAGGTTTGCACGTCCAGCTCGCTCGATGGGGGCGCCGGTGGCCTCGCAGGCTCGTCGGCACGTACGATGCTGGCGGCGCTGCCCGCCGCCTCGGAGTCGCCGCCGAGTCCTCGCTTGCCAACCGCGCCCTCGGCGCGGACCGGCTCGACGATCCCCTCGCCGCGCCTGCCGAGAGCGCCGCTCGTCCAGCCCATCTTTTGGAGGAGCGCGTGGCCCACGCCCGACGAGATGGGTGTCTCCGCCACGCTCTCCGCCTCCTCCCTCTCCCGGCGCCGCTGCTTCTTCGCCGCGGTCTTCGACAGCGCCGCCTCGGCCTCCTCGCCCGCGCCCGCGTCGGCCTCTGGCGGAGCACCCACGGGCGGCAGCACGATGCCGGCCAAAAAGTCGGTGGCCAACCGCTCCGGATCTGGCGGTGGCGGCGGTGGCGGCGGCGGCTCTGCGACCTCCTCGTCCCGACTCCGCTTTGTGCCACCCTCACCCCCGGGCGGCGGCGGCGGCGGCGGCGGCGGCGGAAGCTGCTTCGGAGGCGGCGGCGGCGGCGGCGGCGGCGGCGGCGGCGCCAAACCTGGAAAGTCCCTCCGAAGCAGCTTCTCAAAGACTCGCGGTGCCTCGAGATGCGCAAAGAGGGAGAGGACTCGAGTCGGCAGTTGCGTCCGCGGCGGGAGCAGCAGCGCCGCAGCCTCCTCCTGCAGATCGGCCGTGAAATCCTCAGCGTCGCCCGCCACCCTCAATCTGACCTGTTTGAGGCCGTCGGCGGCGGTGTCGACGTCCAGCACCGCCCAGCGCCTCGTCGAGCACTCGCTCTCGCGCCGGCCGAAGAGCGGCCGCACGCGAAGAGAGCGTCGCAGCTCAGAGTGCCTCGCCATGTCGACGGTGCACTCCCCTGGCGGCGGGAGCGTGGAGCCCGACGCCTCGATCAGCAGCCGCAGGACGACGGCGCAGCGGGCGGCGGCGGCCGGCAATGCGGCTGCAGGCCCGATTGCCGAAGTCCTTTGCTCAAAATCGGCGGAGGAGAGGCGTGGCACGCGGAGCAGGCCGAGCAGTCGCTCATCCATGCGTCGGAGCAGCGCGTCTCGTAGCTTTGCCCGCTCGCCCGCCGCCGCAGCCACGGCCGGCAGCACTCCGTGGTTGAGCACGTGCAGGCTCACCACGTCGAGCGCGGGCAGCAGCGACGCCCTGGCCGCGTCGTCCACGAGCAGCGGCAGCGGCGAGGACGCGTCCGGTGGGAATGTCGCCCACGTGTGAGGCGCGTGCGGCTCGCTCGGCTGGCTCGCCCACAGCCGGAGGCCTGGCAGCGCGCCGAGCGCCTCGGTGTGCGCTCGCTCGGCCGCCTGCCTCGCAGGCAGCGGCGCCTGCGCCGACGCGGCAGCCATGGGAGGGTCGTCCGCCGCCACGTCGACCAGCCCACGCCGCGCGAAGCAAAACCGCAGCGCCAACGTGAATAGGGCCCGCAGATCGGCGCCCTCGGCGGCGAGGGAAGGCGGAGGTCGCCTCCACGCAGTCGCCAGCCAGCGCTCGACGGTGGGTGCCGAAGGCGCCGCCGGCAGCTGCAGCAGCGCCGCGAGAGCGCGCGCGTTGCTGCCGAGAGCCGGGCTCCGGCGGACGTCGAGTAGCCAGCCGGTCTGCACCAGCTGCTCGCACAGCAGCTCGTCTGCGAGACGCGCGCCATCGCTCCCGTCGCCCGACGCCGGCGCGCTGCTCGAGGGCCCGCGGCAAATCGCTCGCGTGGAGCGCACGAGCGTCCTCTGCAACGGCAGCAGCGCGTACCGCTCCGCCGACCGGCGAACGTAGGCTCGGTCGAGTCCGCTGCCACCGGCGGCCTCCGTCTCGGCGAGCGCGGCCCACACAGACACGTACTCTGAGAGCCCGATCTGCGACGCGCTGGCCGCCGTGCCCGAGGCGGCGGCGGCGGCACGCTGCTCCGCAGCCGCCACGAGCTAGCGAAACCTCTCCATCGGCGACGGTGGCGGCGCGGTGCCCCACTCAAGGAGGCGGGAGATCGGCGCCGCCGCGAGAGCCGCGAGGGTCGGCGGCGGGAGAGCGGCGGGTAGCAGGTGCGGCGCCGCGGAGGCGACAATCGCCACGCGGCTCGGGGGGAGGAGGCCCTTGGCGGTTGGCACCCAGGAGGCACCGCGGAGCAGCGTCACCCAGCCAGCGACGCCGAGGTCGTGCACCGCGGCGCCGGGCTGGGAAGGGGGAAGCCACAGCAGCCGCTTCCTCGCGGGACCGCCGGTGCCGACGGTGGCGGTGAGTGCGGCCCCGCCACCCGTCGGCTGCTCAAGCGCAGCGGGCGCGCCCTCGCCGCGCAAGCACGGCGCGAGCGGGCCCTCTGCGGCGCTCGGCGCCTCCTCGTCGTCCACCGCCGCACGGGCCACCAGGTCGCAGAAGGCCACGGCGAGCGACGCGTCTTCGTCGCCGCGAGCGAGAGCGGCCCGCAGCAGCCGGGCCGAGGCCGGCGTCAGGGCCGCGTCGAGCACGACGGGACGCTTATGCCCGAGGCAACCCAGCCCATACGGCAGCGCAACCGACTTGGCGCTGCTCCGCTGCGATGCCCCGGCAGGGAGGAGGGAAGGGGCGACTGGCGAGGCCGAGACGAGGAAGGCGAGCCCATCCGAGGCGCCGGCGGCGACAAAGAAGGAGCGCCAGCTCGCGCGCTCGTGCGAGGAGGCGGACTTGTCCACGTAAACGCCGTCGACAAAGCTCACCGCCGCGCCACCCTCCACCCGCCGCTGCAGATCCTCGAGGCTCCCGTTGCCAAAGGCCGCGCCGACCGCGCACTGTCCGACGGGGAGCAGGGCGCCGCCCGCGATTTGCGCGTGCGAGCAGAGCTGCGGCTGCTTTTGCTCCTTGAGATGCCTCGTGAGAGCCACCACCGCCTCAGCGTCGGCTCCACGGCTGCCGGCCGCAGCTTGCGCCGCAAAGAAGCGAGCAAAAATCGCTCGAAGCGTTAGAGCGCGGTTGTCGCTCGCCGCCTCTCGGCGCAGCGCCTCGGTGGCGGTGAGAGCCTTCCGGATCGCCATCGCCGATTCACCACCGCCGCCCGGCACGCTCCCGTCGGCAGCGTCGAGGAGCAGCGAGTGCACGGCCGGGTGGAGGGTGAGGCTGCCGCCAGCGCGTGCTCCGGCGCTCGCGCCGTGGAGAGCGCGCTGCAGCGCTGAAGGGAGAGCGGCGAGCGCCTTGGACGCCTTCTGATCGGGCCACGTCAGCTTGTTGGCGGGGTGCAACTGCCCGTCACTTGCTAATAGCAAGGGCGGCGGTGGCGGCGGAAGCGGCGGCGCGCCGGCGGCGCCATCCTTGCCGGACGCGGCCTCCTTGGCAACCTCCTTGCAGTTGCGCCGCCACTCGTCCTGCATCTCCTGGCAGCCGGCCATCAGCCTCACCGCCAGCATAGCCGCCGCGGCGGCTACGGCGGCGGTGTCGCCAGCTGCGTCGGCCTCGGCAGCGCCGCCCGGCCGCTCCCTCGCGGTGGCCCACAGTGCCTTGCCCAAAGCGGCGGCCCCGGCCGCGTCGGTCGTCGGCCGGTGCAGCAGCAGCCACAGCGGAGAGTCGGCAGCCGCGGCGAGCGCGGGCGTGGCGAGTGGCCGCCGTCCGCCGAGCCACCGCTCCAGCAGCGCGGGCGGAAGCCAGCGCAATAGTGGGCGAGGGACGAGCGCAGCGCCCGCGGCGGCGGCGAACTCAACCCTTCGCGAGGCGCCGAGCACGGGCACCAGCGGCTCCGCCCGTAGCGCCGCGTCGAGCGGAGAGCAGTCGAGCCTCTCGCCCATGAAGGTGAGGTGCAGCGCCGCGGGGGCTGCTCCCGCGCCGGCGCCGCCCCGCCTGCCGCCGCGATCGTTACCGCGGCTGCGGCCGCCGCGGCCCTTGCCGCCGCCGTGCTTCGAGTCGCCGGCGGTCGGCTCCTCGCCGGCGTCGGGAGCGGCCCGCTCCAAGCTGGCGGGGAGGAGCCTGTACGCAGCCGCGACGGAGGCGTCGCTCGGAGCGGGGGCCGCCTCGGACACAACGGCCGCCAGGTAGCGCAGAGCGCACACGAGCAGGGCGGGGACCGTCGCCGCGAGCGCGCGGTTCCACGCGTTGTCGCTGAGGGACTGGACGTCCTGCCGGTCCACCGAGAGCAGCCACGCCGCCTGCAAGTTTGCGGCGCCGGGTGCTGGCACCCGCGTCGGCAGCAAAGCGTGCACGAGGCCGCCGCCGCCGCCGCCGCCGCCGCCGCAAGGCACGCCGTTCGAGTCGACCTGGAAGAAGAAGCTCGCCTCCTCCTCGGCGTCGGTTCCCTGCGGCGGCTGGTCGCGCCGCGTGTGGGCGCAGTAAGCGGCCCACGCCTCCCGGCCGGGCCGGAAGCGCACGCTCAAAAAGCACCAGCGCCCCGCCGCCGCCGCACACGCCGCGGCGCCTCCGCCGCCGGGCAGGGCGGGCGAGGAGGCGACCCGCGTGTGCGCGACCCGCAGGGCGGCGGCGGAGGCGGCGACGGCGCCGCTCGCTGCGGAAGGCGGGAGGGCGGCCGCCCTGGCTGCGCCGACGGGCACGTCGACCCGCTCGCAGACGAGCCGCTCGCCCACCCACACCAGCTCCCAGGCCGCCCGAGGCGCGTCGCCGTCGCGCTGGTCGGCGGCCAGCGCGCACCGCGCCAGCAGCGGCGGCACCGACGGCGGCAACCAGCGCAAGTCTCGCCGCAGCGCGTCGAGACCGCCGCGCGGGCGGAGCAGCTCGAAGACGCAGCCCGAGGCGACGGGGCTGCCGCTGCTGTCCTCGGCCCAGCGTGGCAGCAGCACCCACGCGCTCGGCGGGAGCTTGGGCACCGCGCCGCCGCCTCGCGGCTGCGCCGCCGCCGCCTCCGCAAACTCGAAGCGCCAGTCCGGGTCGGCGCAGCGGACGTGCGCGAAGCGCTTGTGGCACGCCTTGAAGCCGATGCCCATGAAGCCAGCCGCGCGCCGGCTCTGCTTTGTGCTCATGCCGACGCTCGCGAGACCGTTGACGTCGAGCGGGCTGAAGCCGCGGCCGTCGTGGGAGAGGCGCAGCGTGGGGCCGGGCAGCAGCTCGAGCCGCACCACCCGCGCGCCGTCGTCCACCGCGTTCTGCAGCAGCTCGAAGAGGTACAGGTCCGAGCGCGGGAACTGCTTCTCGAGGATCGAGAGGAAGCCTCGTACCGAGGGCTCGAGCACGTGCTGCGTGTAGTAGCCGCGGATCGCGTCGACCACCCACCGCCGACCCGCGGGCGTGAGCGGGGAGCGGGCCTCCGAGGCGGCGAGGCGCGCGGCGGAGGCCAGGTCGAGCGGCTCCGCAGCAGTGCTGCCGGCAGCGGAGCTGCGGTCCAGCCTTCGCCACTGCGGCTTTCCTCCGGCGGTGGAGCGGCAGAGCTGAAGCGACGGCCACGGCTCTGGTAGCTCGGGCTCCTCCGACCCTCCGACCCGCGCCGCCTCGTCCACGATGACGGCGGCGAAGCCGCGGCGGTCGACGGCGAGCACGGTAGTCGGAGAGTGCTCGAGGAGCAGGCACGTGCCAAGCACCTCCTCCGCGTGCGGCTGCGCCCAGAGCCGGAGGGAGAGGTCGGGCATCCCAGAGCGGGAGAACTGGCAGCCGATCGCAAACAGGAAAACGAAGGCGGCGCACAACGGTCCTCCTGGCTTGCCGGGGTCATGGGCCCCCCCTGGCTTTGCAAAGAGACATAGGCAGAGGCAGACGCCCAAGGGTGGGCGACGGCTAGAGGGCTAGTACGTCACACTCCTCTCCTTAAAATCCCTGTGTGCCGCGATGATAGCGATGAATCGGCGCGGCAGCGGACCACGGACGTCAACGCGAGCGGACGGCGCGAAAGTGCTCGGGCCTCGGCGCGACAGAAACTGGCGTGTGTGGTGGAGGCGTGCCATCCTCCCATCCCTCCCTTGGGTTGTCTGTTTTCTTTCTTTAAGATACACAGCTGGACTTGCGACGGTGGTAGTCGCCTTATATGTGTGCCACCGTTGCATATATGCCATATCCGGATATGCAACGGTGGCATAAGGCGACTGATACACCGTCCCAGGACCTGAGCTGGTGCTGCACCTCGAGTGCTGGACTGGCGCGCCAAGTACACACAATCAGCGACGGATACGGGATAACCCGGCTCTGCTGAGTGCTGTCCTCGTGTCTGCGCAACAAAAAGGCGGACAAACACCGTGCTTGCTATGTGCAACATGCAACAGAGGAAACACCGATCGCAAAAAAGAAAGTGCGGCCGCGCGGCTCGGCCACAAGACACACAGCTGGAACTGGCGCGCCAAGTACACACAAACAGCGGCTCATACCCGGCTCTGCTATGTGGGCATGGGCGCCCCGTCCGAGCCGCACGCGATGAGCTCGAAAACGTACGTGCCGGGTGCGCCCTCCTCCCCAAACGCCTTGAGCGCGGCCAGCCCCGCCCACCGCTGCGGCTCCTGCACGTACCACGCGGCGGTATGCCGGTGGCGGTCGCTCTGGACGAGCTTGGTCTCGCCGAGCGCCGCGATCTCGCACCGCCGCGTGGCCACCTCCTCCGCCGCGTCCGCCCCGCCCACCATCAAAAAGGAGTTGAACTTCTCCTCGAAGGCCTGGACGTTGTCGCGGTGCGGCGCCTCCCACCTTGGGCGCAGGGCAGGGCGCGGTTGAGAGGGAGGTGTGGGCGGAGTGGTGTGGGCGTAGAGCGGTGAGGATGCGGAGCGGCAGGGGGGCACCATTTCCCCTCTTGCCAATAGCCGAACTTGCGGAAGGACCACTGGGACGGGTGACTGCTGGCTGCGAGCGAGTCGGAGAGACTGAGGTGCATGCGGTGCCAGACTTGGTAGTCGTCTGTCTCGCGCATCTTGCTGGCCATGTCAATCAGCACCTCGTCGCCACGGGTGGAGAGTACGGAGTACCGCTCCCAGCTGGATGGCTGGCCCTCGCTATCGCGGTACTCCCACTCGAACCAGTCCCCCTCTTTGAAGCGCGACGACGCGAGCTGCCGCCCCATCGCGACGTGCGCAGGGCCGGACCGGGGCTTGCTGTGCCGCCGCTCCTCCAGGAGAAGTGGATGCCGCGCGCGAGCTGCTTGGTCGGAAGAGAAAAGCGCTGCACTGGCGCCGACGGCTGCGCCTCCCGCGAGGTGGCGGAGATGCAGCATATATGTGTCGAAGGAGCGGGACGCGGTGGTGCCCCGGTGTGGATGGAGTGCGGATGTCGCCGCATCTCTTTTTCTTTTATTCCACCCTTTTCAAAGTAACGGCATTTAGTAGGAGAGGCGCCCGAGATGGGGGCCGGGGGGGTTAGATCGCGCGCGGCGCGCGTGCGTCCCCTCAGCCAATCAGGAGCTTCTTCTCCTCGATCAAGGAGTAGGTACCTCCATGTTGAGTGAGCGGCGCCGGGCGGCCCCTTGCGGATCCGGCCAGAGGTGTCGTAGTGCGAGCCGTGGCACGGGCAGAACCACCCGTTGTAGTCGCCGGCCTTGTTGATCGGGACGCAGCCGAGGTGCGTGCACACGCCAAGCACGACCAGGGTCTCTGGGTTTTGCACGCGGTCGAGGTCGTTCTCCGGGTCGCGCAGTTCGGCGAGGTTCACGTTCGCGGCCTCGGCGATCTCATCCTCGGTGCGCGACCGAATGAAGACTGGCTTGCCCCGCCACTTAGCCGTGATGCACTCGCCCATACTCAGCTTGGAGATCAACCTCCAGCGACGCCATCGCAAGCACCGCGTCGGCCGCCGGGTTCATCTGGGCGAGGAACTTGATCAGGCAGAGAGGCGCCAGGCTGAGGCAGAGATGAACTTGGCGCCGCCTGCAGCAGCGCGGCCCGTCGGTCAAGCGCTGCCGGCTGCGGAAGCGAGGGGGAGCGCGGAGCCGGTACGCGGCTGCAACGGAGCGCACCAATCATCGCGTAGTTAAACGTGCGGTTCGCCGGGTCGGCGTGTCGCACGCGCGCCTGTTATGCGGTAAGGCTCTCGCCGTCGACAAACTTCCTCGGGTCGACCGTGGTGACGTATCCGCCGCCTGGCGTTGTGCTGCGCGTCACCTCGGACTGACAGGCCGGCGCAGAGACACCGCAGGCTGCGCACCAGAGCGCAGCGCGCGCGCCGAGTGGCGCCGGGCGCCGAAGCGCCTGCAGCTGGGCGCCACGCCTGAGCGAGGCAATCATGAGCCTGATTGCTTTGCACACCGAAGGGTCACCAACCAAAAATAAAGAGGGCAACGAGCCGTGTACAAAGGGCTCCGAACGACTCCTCTGCCGCATGCCTGCCTCTCTG